GCCATTGGAGCAGCACACACACTCACACACACACACGCAAGGAGTCCAATAACCGCTGGACAAACATCCAACAACCAGCAATCCAACACCCAACACCCGTACCCGAGCCCGTACCCGCACCATACCCGCACCAGCAACAGCACCCGGACCAATTCAGCCATCAAAACGAAACTTGCCACACGAGCTATCCGAGGCAGGCACACAGAAACACACACACACAAACACACACACAAATCCGCAAATCCCACTGAATTGTAACAGAGACGTGGAGCCAGACCAAGAGATAGAGATAGGAGTCGAGCTTGAAAATCCCCAAAGCCAAAACAAAGTCCAAGACCAAGAGCAAGAGCAAGACCAAAAAACCAGTGGGGAGATCAATGAACGCGGCACGCAGCTGACAGCAGCAGCAGCAGCAACTCAGCGAAGCATAGGAAAGGCGCCACGGACGGACACTTGGCTTGGACGGCGTTCAAGTTCAGGCAGCAACTATTCCGACGACGACAAGCAGGAAGTGGCGCGGCTGCACCTTAATTGGAGGCAGTGTCATTACCACCAAAGCAACTGCAGCAGCAACATCAACATCAACAGCAACAGCAACTGCAATAACCAACGCTCATCCTGCTCGATGTAAGATGTTAGTGACCGACAACAGCAACGAGCTCCACACAAGCAACAGCCGCAGCCGCATCTGCACCTGGAGATGGAGCCTAATCCAACTGTTTGCCCTCTGCTGGTGCTGCCTCTGCTCCCTCAGTGTTGAGGCGGCCACACCCACCACAGTGTCCACAGGTCAACTGCTGACGGGACATCAATTGCTGCCATGGCAGGCGGCGGCAGCCACATCCTCCTCGCCCTATGCCACCGCCACACTGGCGCCCACGGCCCGCAATCTGTACGCGCCCTTCCAGCGCTTCAGCCAGCAGGACGACATCAGCTTCAAGGATGTGCGCCAGCGCAGTGACGGCACAATTGTGCAGTCCTTTGGTTCCTATCGCACAGCCCGCCAATCGGGCGGGCAAGCGGCCGCCGCAGCAGCCCAACGCCGTTCGGATGCCGCCGTCGAAATCATTCCGGCGCCCTCGGTGGAGCTGCCTCAAGGCGAACTGATCACGATACCAAAGCAACTGGTGCCCACGATGCCCGAGAACGTGACGCGGCAGGGCAGGCAGCGCAACTACATGTACATCCCACTGCAGACGGCAACGGATCCGCAGTCGGCTGGAGCCCTCCTTCAGCTGCGGCCTAGCCGAAATGCCACGCTCTCCTCGCTGGGACCGCCAGCAGATGGCGTAGCCGCTGTGGCCCATCAGTTTGGAGCGGAATTGGCCACTCAGGGCAGTCCGGAGCAGCAGCCGCTGGAACTAGACCCAGAGCGAACGGAACGCAGTGATCTGGTGGCCTCTGCCAGCTCCACGGACAAGCTGGAGTACGCGGAGCCGGAGAATACCAGTCGCCGCGTGGGCTTCCAGTTTCCCAGCTACAGCCTCAAGCCCGCGAGCCCCTTCCATCCGCAGTCCTATCGCGAGGACAACCCCATCTTCGGGGATACCAGTGCAACGGGATTCGAGCCGCAGCCATACAGCGAGGATGCCGCGCCCACGCCCACCCAGTACGAGTCGCACGAGACGCGCCACACACGCCAGCTGTACTTCGACTCGGACGTGTCGCCCTCGAGCTTCGAGTTTCCGGGTTTGGCGAGCAACTCCAAGCCCCACGGCCTCAAGCTCTATCGGGATGATGTGACCAAGTTTGGGGACATCAACGGACCCATCACGGCCCTGCCGCAGCGCCCGCAGCGTGGCTTCTACTTTGGAGAAACTGAATTCCGGACGGGGCCTCCCGCACCCGTCCGCCAGTTTGGGCCACAGAAGAACTTCCAGGAGTACGTGGGACCCAGCGACTACCAGGGCTCCCGCAAGAGTCGCTACTATCCGTACAAGTCATCCCGCAGCCCACGCGTGGTATTCCCCTCCAACGACAACGTGGGCACCACTGGGGTCAGTGGGCCGGCGAGCAGCAGCGGCCCCTCCGGCACAGGAGTTTACTTTAGCGACAATCTCGCCTTCAGGTGAGTGGCAGGAACAGAATGACCCTATAGATCTATTTCTGAGCGATGTCTTCTGTTTCCCTATAGGGATCAGAACTTTGGCATCAACGAACTGTCCGCCGTGCAGGATGTGCGCAACGATTACAGTCTGCAGGAGCTGGACAACGCCTCGGAGGCCACCAGCAGTCCGCAGTCGGCGAGCACGTTCAAGGAGAAAGGTAAGTCCAACCCAGACCCCCCCAACCAGCTCCGAGATCCCAGCACCCAATCCAAGCGGAAACCCCCATCCCTGCGTTCGGTAGGGCAATAAGTTAGAGTCGCAACTGCTGCTGCTGCTGTCACTGCTGCAACCCCACACACACACCTGCTCCATACACACACACACACACACACAAGAAGAACAAACCCAAACCCATACCCATACAGATACAGATACCGATTCCAATGATTACCATTCGACAGTCGACATCACAACGGACATGGAGTGCCAGAACCGTGGCGGCACATGTGAGTTCTTTTTGGGCTGCTGGCTGTCCGGCGGCCTCATTCAGGGCACCTGCAATGGAGTGCTGCGCGGCTGTTGCCACCGCACGGCCAAGTCGGCCAATCTGCGCAGCTCGGACTATGCGGGCAATACCGTAGATCTCACAGATCTGCCGCAAAAGAACTATGGACCGGTCAACAACGAACCCAGTGAGTGTGGCAGCCTCAGCTCGAACCAAAAACCAAAACCAAATCAACTCCCAGCACGTGCACACACTAAAACCCTACCCCAACCCCACCCCACTCCACCACCCAAAAATCGGTTCAGCGAATTAGTTGAGAACTAATTTGCATGCCACGAAAAAAAGAAAAACTAATAACAAATTTACGTATTTTATGTATAGATAAATATTTTGTAGTTCGTTTTGTTTTGTTTTGTTTTGTTTATCGCTCATCTTCATTAAGTAAAGTAAAGTATATATTATGTAGTTATGCACTCGTAATTCGTACATTTAAGTATTTGTTATAGTTACACTCTCTTGGCTGGGTTTCAGCGCCCAATTAAGCTGCAATACACCCCAGAGATCCACGAGTACTCGTGGATGTATGCAATACCGAAGCGAGGCACCGCTCTGGAGGAGGCAGAAAGAAAGGCTGGAATGAAAGATATAGAGTTTAATTGCCAGGCATGAGCATGTTAATTACCACAGCACGCTAATGATAATTAAGCCATATTACACATAGCTTAACGGCATTACGCTCCATGTGCAAGACACTCGTAGACACTCACTCGCCTCACTCTCAAACGAACCCCAAAACCCCCAAACGTCCGAGTCTGAGTTGGACGGTACTGCGATGCGACTAGAAAGCGGAGACAGACCCCCCTAAGACCCAGACCCCATACCCACCCGGCAGTGGCAGGTTCCATCGCGATGCTTTCATTGTTGTGTTGTTGCTGTTGTTGCTGTTGTTTTGTTTGCCTAATTGCTTGCTTGCTTTGTGGTCACCCTGTTTAATGCTTCACTAATCCCCCCATACACGAGTGTCCTTCCGATCCGAGGGATCCCTGAGATCTGCACCAAACTGAATACGTTCTCCGCTTTTGCTTGCCATTCCAGGTTGCGGCATCTCGCTGGCCAAGCAGACCGCACAGCGTCGCATTGTGGGTGGCGATGATGCGGGCTTCGGCTCCTTCCCCTGGCAGGCCTACATACGCATTGGATCCTCCAGGTAAGCAACCAAAGAAGATGCCAGCAGCTTCATTACTGAGTGGAATATGCTCTTCCCCCTTTTGCAGATGCGGAGGATCGCTGGTCTCGCGGCGTCATGTGGTCACCGCCGGGCATTGTGTGGCTCGGGCCACGCCCCGGCAGGTGCACGTCACGCTCGGCGACTACGTGATCAACTCGGCCGTGGAACCACTGCCGGCTTATACCTTCGGTGTTCGCCGGATCGATGTGCATCCGTACTTCAAGTTCACGCCGCAGGCGGATCGCTTTGACATATCCGTGCTGACGCTGGAGAGGACTGTGCACTTCATGCCACACATAGGTAAGTGCCCCATTGAGCTGCCCTGCAATAGACTCCATCCGCATGCTAACTATCCTCCCGTCCTACAGCCCCCATCTGCCTGCCCGAGAAGAACGAGGACTTTCTGGGCAAATTCGGCTGGGCTGCCGGCTGGGGTGCCCTGAATCCGGGCTCCCGGCTGCGTCCCAAGACGCTGCAGGCCGTCGATGTTCCGGTGATCGAGAACCGCATCTGCGAGCGCTGGCACCGGCAGAACGGCATCAATGTGGTCATCTATCAGGAGATGCTCTGCGCGGGCTACCGCAACGGCGGCAAGGACTCGTGCCAGGGCGACTCGGGTGGACCGCTGATGCACGACAAGAACGGACGTTGGTACTTAATTGGTGAGTACCAATCCCTGCACGGGAGCTTCCTGCATCTCCATATACTCAATTCGCATCTCCATCCTGCAGGTGTCGTCTCGGCTGGGTACTCGTGTGCGTCCCGTGGCCAGCCAGGGATCTACCACAGCGTGAGCAAGACCGTCGACTGGGTATCCTATGTCGTTGGCCTCACGATGAACATCTGATCTACTATTAAATTATTCTCATCGCATTCGCAATCGCACCGCGCCTGGTGCCTGCTTTTTTTGTACATAATTCACTTCATTCTGCTTACCGAATACTGAATTCTGATTCAATGCTAAAGCCCTATTTATGAATACACAACAAACGAATTAAAACATTAAATGTAATTGAACAAATTAGCGCAGTACAATTTAGCAGATAGAAATGGATGTATCTGCAAGATACCCGTGCGCACCCGTGCGATATTGTTGCAGAGCCCCAAACTAATTATAATTAATGCTTAATTTACGTAGTCATATGCGCTGTTATGTAATTTTAATACTATTTATGAACTACTACATTTCGTGTGTAAATAAATTATACCTACAACAAAATGGAAATTCAGTCGAAATTTATTGTATTGGAATGTAATTTGTTTATGCAGCTACTGTTTGAGGGGCACGTAGACCTGTTGACAGGGAACTCCATACTCGGCATCCTTACAGCAGACTCCGCCAAGAGTGGCATGCTTCGATTGCTCCCCCATCACTCGGAATAGGGTGAAGACCTCGTGATAGATCTTGTAAAAGATCACTTGGGGAGTATCACAATTAGTTGAGTTGAGTTCAGGTAAGTGATATATTCTCTCCGAGAGGAGCTTACCCAGCACAAGGGTGAATACCAAGAGGCACATCAGGAAACTGGACAGATCAATGAAGAGGCCCACGGTGGCATAGAAGACACCCAGATAAAGGCCAAACCCATAAATCACTCCATGGAATATCAGCCAGGGATACATCAGCCAGCTCGTGTCCTTAGATGAGACAGTCAGTCAGTCGGATTTAAGCAATGGATTGCGTTGTTGTTTCCTCTTACCCGAGCCACGCCAATTAGCAGCAGTAAGCTGACGGCCGCGTTGATCAACGACAGTCCATATGCGACAGAGCTAAAGATGGTCAACACTGCAACACGTGCAACCGGAAATGGAAATGGGGGTACGATCATGATCTAGAAAGGGCTCAGTTCCACTCACGATTCATCAGAAACTGCTGCTCGTTGTCCGCGGCCAAGCTGAAGAGCCCTTGCTTGAGCAGCAGTCCGATATCCGGATGCATGTGGAGGGTCACCATGGAGCTGCCCAGGGTCACGGACGATACGATCACGCCCAGCCAGCCCAGAATGATGACGTTGTACTTGAGATTCTGGCACTGCACGTACGAGATGCCACTGCCACTGCATGCAACACTTCCCTGGTGCCCCATGATTAACGCCCGAGATTATTCTGTGGTACGTTCCCGATTGTGTCTGTTTTTGTCAGTGTAGTTTTGTTTTGTGTTGTTTTTTTACTTTTGCTGTTAGTGTTTGCTGCTGTATGTGTTTACAATAGAACAAGCTACGATGAACTGAATAGAGAGGAACCTTTGCCGCCTAACTGACAAGACAGGCCGAGACCCGAAACAGCAAAGGCCTGCTGGGAGAACTACATTCGTAGTATATGTTTTATTATGCTAATCTCGAATTAGAAAGTTACTTCATAAATGGATGATGGCTCCCCCCCACCTTTGGGTCGGTGGTTCGCCTTTGTCTGACGGAGGCCCCTAACCCAAAAACGCTGGAACGCACCTGCAGCCGAGAGATGTGCTCGTTCCCATTCGGAGAGATGCCAGCGGTTGTGGCAATTATGTCGCATAAAATAATTATAACAGACCTGGAGCACATTTCCTGCGTCGCTGGCAGCCTCAGCAGCCTCAGCATGGCATTTCGTAATAATTAGTAGAGATGAAGAAGATGAACGCAGAGCAGCATCAGCATCAGAGTAGCAGTGGCAGTGGCGGTGAGCAGTAGCATCCACAAACCAGAACCAAGATCAACCTGTTGCTGTGGCGCCCAGTTCGAGTTTGGCCAGCGGCGCGTGCGGTTGTGGCGACGGCACCTCCACTCCCATCTACAGATCATCTAAAAGAACCGAGAACTCCATTTCGCGGCAAATGTGTGAACCGTGCGGGCAAAAAGGAAAACTGCAAAGCAAAACTGTGCCATCGAGCCAAGTGAATTGGCACACTTCCCATTGCGATGATTGTTTTATCAAAATTCATTAGCCAGTGCGTGCCTGTGCGGACAGGTGGTGACCCATTTAGCGGACAGGTGACCCCATAACTCGTATCACGTTCTCGTTCTCGTATCAAGGACACACATCTGTCTCTCTCTCGGCCGTGAGTCATCCGCCAGACAAGCCCATACCCATGGCCATAGCCAGAGACGACGACAGACATCAAGTAAAAGTGGAGCAGCAGCAGCAGCAGCGCAAGTCTTAAGAAATCTAAGTAGAAGAAAGAGCAGAAGACACCGCCGCAGCCACATAAAAGTGAATAAGAAACTGTCATGCTTTCGTTGGCAGCCATCGCAGCTCATGTCAATGGAATGGAGATTTAACAGTCCACAAATTGTGCTAAATGCCTCAACGCCCACCAATAATCATCTACTCCGAAAATTGGATAGTGAACAGTGAACAGTGACAAGTGACAAGTGATTAGTGACTGGGAACAGTAAAAATGAATCTGCTGCTGTGGCTCTTAGTGCTGCTGCTGCTCTCCTGCCACATCAGCCACGGCCAGGCCAGTGAGTAAGTGCAAGAGTTCCCCCCAACTTGATACTGATCCTGATCTCGTTCAGATATCCTCAACGCGTTGCTGGGCGTGCCCGCAGAGTGTGTGCACCAGAGCGGCATCTGGCCCTGCAAGCTGAGCTTCTCCTGCTGGCTGCAGGGCGGCAAGCATGCCAAGGGCTGTGGCAGCAACAAGTGGCTCTTCAGCTGCTGCATCGCCGCCGCCGCCGATCCGCAGCATCCGCATCTCTCACAGTCGCAGCTGCCGCATCCGCAGTCGTCTTTGGCGAATCTCATTGATTATGGCCAACTCAAGATAAGTCTGCAAGGCCTGCCCAAGCGCATCATGTTGCGGCGTCGCGACGACAATGAGCTGCTCAACGTTCAGGTAAGTCGTGTGACGGTTGACAACTGAGGCATTGAGCGAGTCTTCAATCTCCCATCCATTACAGCCCGAATGTGGGGTGCCACGAACAGCGCAGAACACGCTCCAGAAGCGCATCATCGGCGGTCGGCCGGCACAGTTCGCCGAGTATCCGTGGCAGGCGCACATCCGCATAGCCGAGTACCAGTGCGGTGGGGTGCTCATCTCGGCCAACATGGTGGCCACTGCCGCCCATTGCATACAGCAGGCGCAGCTGCCGGACATCACCGTCTATCTGGGGGAGCTGGACACCCAGGATCTGGGCCAAATACACGAGCCGCTGCCAGTGCAGAAGCACAGCGTCATGCAAAAGATCATCCATCCGCGCTTTAACTTTCGCATGACGCAGCCAGACCGCTACGACCTGGCCCTGCTGAAGCTGGCCCATCCCACGGCCTTCAGCGAGCACATCCTGCCCATTTGCCTGCCCCATTATCCCATCCGGCTGATCGGACGCAAGGGCCTCATCGCGGGCTGGGGCAAGACCGAGGCCCATTTGGGGCACGCCGGCACCAATATGCTGCAGGTGGCCAGCGTCCCCATCATTAGTGAGTAGCCAGCCTCACATCTTCAGAATTGCTGACTACTCCCATGCTCTGTCATTCCACAGCCACCTTCGACTGCATTCGCTGGCACGAGAGCAAGCAAATAAATGTGGAAATCAAGGCGGAAATGTTCTGTGCGGGACACTCGGATGGCCACATGGATGCCTGCCTGGGTGAGTGAGTGCGGGGCAGCAGAACAAGCAAGATATTCAAATTCGTTATCATTGACAGGCGATTCCGGAGGTCCGCTGGTGATCAAGGATCGCGGACGCTTTGTGCTCGTCGGCATCACCAGCGCCGGCTTCGGCTGTGGCGTCGATCACCAGCCAGGTACGTGCCATCCACAATAACTTGCACGACATGATGGGAAACCAATTAATTAATGGATCTGATTTAGGCATATATCACAATGTTCAGAAGACTGTGAGGTGGATACAGGATGTGGTGACGCGCAACGAATTGTAGCAACAGAAGGGACCGCGAGTGGTTGTCCTGTGGCATGACACAAATCTCATTAGTTTATGGCTCGTAGCATTAGGCAATGGATATGTGCAATCCAAATCACATAAGCGACACATTTACGCGTATTTATTAGATTTATTAAATATTATTATGTACGATATTTAATGGAAACCGTCAACGATGACCATGGAGATGATGCCGAGCATTTCATAACCTCTATTTGCGCAGATTATATTATGGATGCAGAAGGTTCAATGGCATACCATTGCGGGTCTCATGCAGAGTGCTCTTTTCTTCTCCCTCTCATGCAGAAAAAGAGAAGAGCTGATGCTGCCAGCTTTGACTCTATTTTATCTATCAAAGCTCGCTCAACGATGGCTGCAATAACACTACCAAAAGGTAGCTGCTAGGACACTTTCAAAGTTGGCTTCTATAACACCACCAATAGGTGTGTGCCTCCAAAGGTGGCTGCTATGTCACTACTAGCTGACTAATTGATTTCCGGAAATTCTATACCCAATACAGTATGTGCTCGCAAAAAAAAAAAAAATCCAATTTGTCTCTGGGCAACTTTTATACACGTGACTAAAGGTCTTTGAGTATGTATGCATATATTTAGATTTTTGATATAAATATTTCATTGTTCGGTTCCATAACAATACTCGGAAAAACATTTGGTGTGGAGTAACATTTTTGGGAGAATTTTTCCATACACTACGATAAATTGTTGTATAAATAGTTTAACATTTAATATAGCTGGGCGTAGATAAACCAACAATTTACGATAACATGCGAATGATGATGTCCGTTAATAGACGGTGTTGTGTTGACCGAGGCGAGCAGCTGCAAATGTAGAATCAACCGTTAGCGGGCGTAAATCCTTTTCTGAATTTTGTTGATGAAATGATTTGCATACAATATGTCAAGTTGGACAGACTTAAAAAAACGTGCGTTTTGTAGGAAGCGAATCATAAATGAGTAGGAAATATAAAATAAATTATGTATTTGTGTATTTGTGTATAATGAATACTTTCGTATGCCATGCGTGCACGCCGTGTCATGGACCACTCTGAAGTTCTAATCGTCGACCAGCAGAGATAACAACAAAAACGGTTCAAATGTATTTAAAACTTAGGCCATAGCTTGTTGCGTTTGTAAACTAAAAAACATTCATTGAGATAGATTCGATGGGTAGAAGATAGAATAATAGATGGTGCTGTAGCAAGTTACACTGGGCAATGAAAAATCAAAGAGGGATGGACATCTTCATCATTGTAAGTGCGTCTAGGCAACGGCATCGGTGGCGCATTCCTCCTCGACGGTGATGTACATACCCTCCTCCTCGTAGGCAGAGTCGTGCTTGGCAAGAATTCTCAGCAGCGGACGCAGACGCAGCCACCATTGCTTCTTTGGTATGCGTTGACTGGTGGAGAAATAGGAGAAAATGCATGAAACAGGGATCATCAATTGGGGTAAGGGGTAAGCCTGATACTCACTCAAAGTTTGTCTCGGCAATAAGATCGACCAGTGGACTGAAGCGGTACTGGCGCGACACAATGCCCAGCAAGGTGGCGGTGTCGGGAGCCTTGCAGTTCACCTCGCCGTTGGCATTGATGTTCGCCTTGATCTGGTCGGCCAGCCAGTCCACGCACTTGGCCGCCATCTTGGTGCCCATGTTGCGGTCGAAGGGTGTGGGCGATCCTCCCTGCTGCATGTGGCCGAGGATGTTCATACGGCAGGTGAACAGACCCTTGCCCTCCTCCGAGTAGAGGCGATAGATGAAGTCTGTGCTGTAGTTCTCGCAAGCCTTCTCATTGCGCAGAATCAGGCCGCGTGAGACGCCCTCGGCCATTTTGCTGGCCATGTGGTAGACATCCTGCTGCAGGTCCTTGATGGAGAACTTCTCCTCGTAAATGTACGCGGCATCCGCACCACCGGCCAGACCAGCCAGCGTGGCCAAATAGCCGCAATAGCCACCCATTGTCTCGATAACGAACACACGACGCTTTGTGCCCTGGGCCGACTGACGGATACGGTCACAGATCTCCGTGATCTCGTTCAGGCCCGTGTCGCAGCCAAGTGAGAACTCCGTGCCGGGCACATTGTTTGAAATCGTCGAGGGTATGACCACGATCGGGATGCAGAACTGTGGATAGTTATCGCGCTGATCGGCAATCTGTCCGGCTGCATGGTAACTCTCGAATCCACCGATGATGAGGAGGCCCTGGATCTTGAACTCCTTCAAACGGGCAGCGATCTCTTTGAACTTTCCCTCGGGCAGGGTGCGTTTGGTGCCCAGATACGCGCCGCCCTGTCCCACCCATCCACTCACATCCGACCTGGAGAGGAAGATCAAGATTATTCCATTAATTTTGCATTCCTCGCGATTCTGTATCACATGCAGCACCACTCACCATCCCAATTCGCGCACATTGCCAGCAATGAGACCCTCGACACCGTCGTGGATGCCATAGACAACGTCACCACGGTAGATGGCATTGCGCACGAAACTGCGCACGGCCGCATTCATGCCACAAGAGGGGGCACCAATGTGCATGACCGCTAGCCTGTAGCCCTCGATGCCCTTGCCCTCGGCATCGAAGCACTCCCTGGGCGGCTTCAAGCGTGTCAACATCTTGTATGTCTCCAGATTGCGCTCGAAAGAACGGCCACGCAACTTGACGGCATCCGCCCAGCGTTTCTCCTTCATGGCCAGGGCCACTGCCTGAGTGCGCTCCACGCACTCCATCAGCGGCACACGCACAGCCTGATTGCCGTCCAAAGAGATGACCACCGGCACCGAATCCTTGGTGGCCTCCATCAGAGCCAAAGTCGCTTCGGCGCCCATGCGGCATGCCTAAAATGATTTCATATTAGAGAATGCTTAAGAACGGCGTCCAGAGGGGAGATACGAACCAAAATACGATCGAAGGCGCTGGGATTGCCACCGCGCTGCACATGACCCAGGACAGTGATGCGGGCATCGTGCTTCAAGCGTTCATCGATCACCTTCTTCACATCCTCGGCGGTAATGGGATTTCCCTCACGGTCCATTGCTCCCTCAGCCACGATGACAATGTTCAGACGCTGGCCAGCCGATCGTTCCTGTTAAGGCATCATAAGATATATCAGTATTTTATTCGTAGAGATAAAGAGGCGAGTTGTGCGCCCAATGTATGTACATATGTTTACGTAAACACACAATTTTTGACATCAAGCTAATGAATACAGTGCGAAAATGCTTTAATTTTTACTACTTTAAGTCTTGAATTTCATAAAAAGATGTTATGAAAAGCACAGTAGATGCACATATGTATGTATATGTATTTTGTATATAGAAAGCACAAGCATAAGCCAGTGTGAACCAGTGTAAAAAGTAGACGAAAGCCATAAATAAACGATGATTTAAAGATCGATATGAGGATGAGTGTTAGTGGAACTGGGAAAGTTAATAGAAATACATAATGAAATAATGAAAATAATACAGGAGACCAGGAGACCAAGAACCCAAAACGAATACAATTGAATATTGATTATTGAAGCTGTTGCTTCAACGCGATAGTTTAGAATCGAATTATATTCCAGAACGAAGCGTTAGAAAGTGTTGAGAGATTCCAACTTAAGACTGTTTTAGAGTAAACGCTTAACAAACGAATGAAGGTAGTGGGAGGAGGGCAATCAGCCTGACCTGTTGGAGTTTGATACAGATATCGTCCTGCCACGTGACTTCCGCTGGCTCTTCGGGTAAAAATATAAAATCAGCCTCTGTGGCTATAGCCGCGGATATGGCTAGGTAACTAAAAACAAAAAGATTAAACACAAACAAAAAGAAAAATGTTGACAAACGTTGTGAATCGATGAGAGGTAGTAGTAGGAGGGGTAGATAACTTAAGATTAGTTACAATATGATACCGGTGGGTACAGGGGGATACCGGGGGATACAGGGAATACATAGGATAGGGGGCGGGACAAACGCATACGTTAATTGTGCATAAATCAGAATCATCCAATAGATCGAATCATACTGGATGGAAATAATCGAATTGTGTGCAGGAGTTAGCGTAAAATAAGAAGAAGCTCTGATATGTGGCATGTGCTGAGCGAACTCCTTCGGTGTCTTTGGAACTCAAGTACTAAATATTGAGTATGCATTAATTGGCTGGAGATCAAAGAAAGCGAGTGGAGTATATATTTTAGTTCAACTTCTTGCCTGGGCCAATTGGATGCACAGCCTATCTGGCCAATCGACTTTCGGTGGCATTTCCGGAATGAATATGAAATCAGCTTCACTAGACAATCCGGCAACAAGTGCTAAATAACTGCAAATATATATATATAATTTAGAATACTTATTAGTCATAAAAGGGAGGGCGGGTTGACGGGTTGCATCCACAAGGAGACTGATCGACTGATACGACTAATACGACTGATCTTGGAAGGCATTCAATGATGACAGAAATGTGCAAAATGATTAAAACATTCAACAGATCTCTGTTCTGGCTTGCCTGTTCCAACTTAAGCACAAGTTTAGCAGGCCAATCGTTTTGCGGAGGATATTCAGGGAGAAAGACATAGTCTGCCTCGGAAATAATGCCAGCCACAACTGATAAATAGCTAAAGATATTCAAGATATTACCCAATTAATCACCGCCCCTAGGTCTGGCAGAACCGCCGAAGAGCCCCCCTCTCTTACCCGCAATGGCGACCCATAACCTCCATGATGAAGGTACGTTGATGTGAGTAGGCCGTGCTCGAGATGGCGTCAATAGCTTCGATGATGCGATGCAGAGCAGAGTCCGTACCAATGGTCATGTCCGTGCCACAGAAATCGTTATCAATAGAGCCAACCTGCAAAGCATATATAATCGTTAGCCAGTAATTCGAATGCAGAGTTTAATTTCCTTACCAATCCCACAATGTGCAACACACTGTTCTTTTCCTGCTGGGCGGCAGTGATGGTGCCATTCTTCACCAGCTCATCCAACAGGCTGGACCACTCCTGACGGAACAGATTGGCACCGGTGAGGGAACCATCACCGCCAATCACCACCAGGTTGGTGATTCCCTTCTGCACCAGATTATTGGCGGCCTTGAGGCGACCAGCGCGTTCACGGAAATCCGCACAGCGGGCGGAGCCAATAATGGTGCCGCCGCGATGGATGATGGAGGACACCGAGGCCCAGTTGGCCTCCTGAATGTTGTCACCGCCATCTACCATGCCCTGGTAGCCTTCGCGGATGAAGTAGGCCTGTGGATTAAAGGGTAAGTACAAGTTTTAGTTCGCTTAAACTGTTATCGATAAGTATCTGTTGCAAGTGCCTATCTAATCGTTACTTTTCAAAAGCTATCATTTCCAAAATTATGAGATACTTCACTTCGTATGCATAGAGTGTACCCAGGCGGCAATCGGACCATCAATTTCACTTTCATTGACCCAAAATTAATAAAATAAAAAAAATGGCCATCAAAATTTATTCTAATCAATTTCAATTACGCACAATTGGAAATATATTTGCATATTTTGGGGAGAAAACTTGGCGAAAACTTCAAATTCAAAAGAATCAATTAGTTGGATCGAAGATTTGAGAGCTTTGGGAAAGAGTAACCGAAAATTAGAACAACAAAAAGTGAAACAGAAATTAGCCGAAGAAATCGCATGTGAAAACACCCAAAATAAACTCAATGTCAATGCGCACAGACACATACACACAGACATACACCACAAGTGTGTTACATACAGCACTCGGGGGCTGGCTGGCTGCTTCTGTGTAGCGTAGTGTGTCGCCGCTCTCTATTGCTGTGCTTAAGAATTTCTTCGTTGGCCTGATAAAGATTATCTAACTATTAATCAATTTGCCTAAGTTCAATGCCTGCGATAAGAATGGTTTACATTTATAACTCAGAGTATTTAACGTAAATTATAGATCTTGGTTGTGGGAGCTGGGGCGGGCTGTAAGAGCTGGTAGTAAAAGTACTTGACAGAGGTCACCACTCACCTTGCATCCCAAGTAGATGGCCATACGCACACAGGAACGCACTGCGGCATTCATGCCCTGGGAGTCGCCACCGCTGGTGAAGACGGCCAGGCCCTTGTCCTTCTGCGAGCCGCGCGCCAGAAAACGTTGATTAATTTCAGAGTTCATGGCGAATTTCGTTATTCTTTGATCAAATTTCAATATTCGATATTAACGTCTTTCTTTGCTACCGGTAAGCCCGTATACACGCACGCACACACACAGACACTGGACCCGAAACAGCCACTGGGAGGGAGATTGGAAGCGACCAACTATTATGCTATATACACCCTTTTTGCCAATCAGACCAAAGGCGCAGAGAGGCAGTAGAAGACTGGACTGGCACTGGAGCGGCGTATTAAGTCAGCCCGATATATATCCAAATAGTTATTAATACTATTTGATTCGTTCCGTTCCGTGGCTCTGTATCAGCGAAGCGTTTTTCAGTTACTACGAGCGGTATTTGGCGTACAACTGAGAGGTTTCGTTTTGACGTTTCAAGGTGACCTTTGGGCCAGACGCATACACAACACTCACTGCAAACAGACACACACACACTAACACGCTGTCGTACAGCCAAAATGCTTTCGCTGTAAGCGCGACTGATATGCGTACTGATGCAATGCGGGCGTGGGATGGTTAAACTGCTTGGATTTACACGGCACTGACTCAGAGATAAGGTTTATCTCTGCAGACGATAGGGCGATCACCTTAATGATTTTTTCTCGAGTTGCAATGAACGGAAAAGAGCGATTAAGCGCTCTGAACTCGTTTTGTTTACGTTCAACCCACATGCAAGTGTGTGTGTGACAGGCACAGCTGTTGCTGCCCAGCTGTTCTGAGCTTTCTCAGAGCTTTCACTTCTAGAGATGGTCGACGGGTGCCAGCGGTGTGTGCAGGCGGCTATCGAGCTATCTTATTGATTTATTTTCAAATCATAACGGAGTGTAAAAGTTGAAATGAATAATTAAACTTACGTAGAGGTTAGGGTTTCTGCGACCGTATTTGTAAACTTCCTTGCATTTTTCCTTGTGAAACATTCGTGCTTCTCGATTCTCAGATGCAAAATCGAACTTTGTTGTCTTTCCAAGGATGCTGTCGGTCAATTTGCCATCAACTAAATTCTGTGGATTCATAAAACCCACTATATCCATACTCGATTCAGTAGGAATATTTTGATGCCCGCCAAGTTTACTTAGCTCTAGTCCTGATGTATGAGGCATCGCCTCATGGTCCAACCCCCTCGCATTTCTCAGGATCGATACTACTTGAGATGGGTTTCGGCAAAAATAGCGATAATACAGTTCTATATTGTGTTCCCGCAAAGCTAGCAAATACTCGTACTTCCTCTCCAAGCATTTCGTCTTGTTCAAATATGTCTTGATTTTAGACAATTCGCCTTGGTCGTTTGTTTTTCCATCGCCTAAGTTCTGTCGTTTAATACCCACTATATCGGTACTCGATTCAGTAGCAATATTTCGCTGCCCGACAAGCTTACGTAGGTCTAATCCTGATGTACGATGCATTTTCGTTTCCTTATATTGGTCGTTGACTGGCATCGCCTCACAGTCATAACCCCTGGCATTTCTCAGGATCGATACTACTTGAGATGGGTTTTGGCAAAAATATCGGTAATACAGTTCTATATTGTGTTCCCGCAAAGCTAGCAAATACTCGTACTTCCTCTCCAAGCATTTCGTCTTGTTCAAATATGTCTTGATTTCAGACAATTCGCCTTGGTCGTTTGTTTTTCCATCGCCTAAGTTCTGTCGCTTAATACCCACTATATCTGTACTCGATTCAGTAGGAATATGTCGCTGCCCGACAAGCTTACGTAGGTCTAATCCTGATGTACAAGGCATTTTCGTTTCCTTATATTGGTCGTTGACTGGCATCGCCTCATAGTCATAACCCCTGGCATTTCTCAGGATCGATACTACTTGAGATGGGTTTCGGCAAAAATAGCGATAATACAGTTCTATATTGTGTTCCCGTAGAGCTAACAAAAACTCGTACTTCCTCTCTGAGCATTTCGTCTTGCTCAAATATGTCCTAATTTCAGACAATTCCTTCTGAATGCCATCGCCATCGTCTTTACAACAGCCATGTATCCAACGATGGTAGAATGTTGCTTGGCTCAACTAAAATTTAACCAATACGAATAATCTTATTATAAAAAAGTGGGTGAATATAAGGATTTACATACGTACACATGTATTATAATTTCTCACCTTATACCTTTGGTGAAATCCTTGGCCCATCCGATTCTGGACAATCGGGGATAGTTGTACATAGTAAGCCGGAGGCTTTGGTATCCGCTCATTGCAGCCACAAATACTGCAACAGGATATATGTATATTGTGGCATAGAAATGCGTTAGGGGAATTGATTTGCATTCGTACCTTTTTTGGAATTTAGCTAATACTCGAAATTTGTTTAAATGCATGCCAATTCAGCTAACGATTATAATTTTCCACAAGCATACATCTATGTGCATAGATAATGCTTAGAATATGGCGCATTTTATGCACTTTTCTTATTTATTAGTTTTAATATGTTGTTGAATCTACGAATTTGCTTGAAACTTTATGTCAAAGAGCACTATGATCGAAACTAAACTAAGGGCTAAAAAAAGTCATTTTAGTTGGTTTTTTTATGATTTATTTAATTTTTTTTTTGTTTTTTTTGTTGGTAATTAAGAAACTGTAATTTCAATAAACTTAAATTTTCCACTCATACATCAATCTTTGCCTCTATTATATGCATACAATTTACGTCTACACCCACCAGGGTTTTCCGTCTGGTTGTTGTCATGTACTCTCTTTTACTCTGTTTTGTCGTTTGTTTCATTTATGTATGTATTGCAGTTTCATTATATTATTATGTTCTTGTATTCGACTTATTAGCGTTGCGGCAAAAAAGTGTTTTTGGTTTCTTTTATCATTTATTTAAATATATATATATTTTTTATGCCTCACATTCATAATATAGCGATAAATTCAATTGCGAAAATATACATTTACTTATATCATACACACATTTATATGCAATTGCACATATGTATATGGAAATATACATACACGCAAGTATATAATGCTCAGTATGTTTACCGTTCTTGTTGTTGTGGACAATAAGATATATATATTTATATATGGTTTATTGCATATATATTTTTGCTTTTTAATTTTTTTTGTTTTGTTAATACACATGCAAAGTTTTCTTTTATGGAAATTAAAAATTTGAATAGTTTTCGTTTACAATAATTATGTATTTTGATTTGTATTTTGGGTTTTAGTTCATTTTATTCAAATATTTCCATTTTTAATGTATAGCCTGCATTCGCCAAAAGTTAAAAAAGTAATCTGTCGAATGCTTGGAAGTCGAAAATTGTTTGTAAACTGATTAAAACAGAAAAATGAGAAAGAAATCTTTGATATTAGGAACAATTGATGGCCGTTTTCTTACAAGAAAAAGTTAAAGTAGATCGGGAGTGTCCCGCAGAAGCATTAAAAACAGTATAAGCCTTGTGCAACCATTGCGCACAATAAAACTCGTGCCTAAAGCCATGTTGCACAGTTCAAAAATAATAACGACTTCCTTTCTTCGTTTTCTAGTTTTTTTAGCTGGCCGAATCAAGTTCGCAAGTTTTCCCAATAGACAGTTGGTTATATGTGTGTATGTATTATATGAGTTCTGGTTTTCACAATTATAGTATAATACCAAGAGAAGACAACAAGGAAATTTGTAATTGTATTTTTTTTAACCTTTTGTTTATATGTAAGACATGTATAAAAAATAGCAATGAACAACTATATTTTATTCTGTACTTCTCTCAATCTCTCACTTTCCTTTAACAGATACGGTTCCCGTTTCGATAAGGCCCCCCTGTGGAAGGGGGATCATCCCAAAACCAAGTTCCTCACATGCATTATAAATGCAACCCTGTGTTGTTGCTGTGTCTATGTGTTGTTGTTTGTTTTTTGTAATCTGTCTGTGTGTGTGTGGGTGTTTGGATGGGGAAAAAACTTAGCAACTTAAAGAAAATTCAAATAAAAAATAAGGGAATTTAGGTTTTTTTTTGGTTTTATTTGTTTAGAAAAAGAATTACAAATAATACATAAGTTTCTGTTTTACTTTTGTTTTTCTCATTTGGTTCGCTTGGTTGTTGATTCTAGTTTCTGCTTGTTCTGCTGCCTGACAAAAATTAAATAATTAATTTAGTTTCTTGCAAAAATGTATAAAAACAGAAAATAATCGATTTAATTTTGTTTTATGTATACAATTAGGAATAGTATTTATTGGGTGTTGTTTTTTTGAATGAGCTAATTCACACGAAGCAGCCTTAACCGAGCACAAAAACCGAGCATGCGTTTGTCTATTGATGCTGCCTTCTATGTGTGGTATTATATGCTCAAGCAGTTGCAGTGGATCCATTTGACTCGGATTAGTGGGTCTCCTACATGCATACATGCATATACATACAGCTATGTATAGGTAAATATATATAGGCTCTATACTGTCCTACCCACGATCGGCCTCAAATGAAAAACATGCTGCATGTAATTTGTATTAAATGTTGCATTCCTCCTCTTCCTGCCTGTCTCCTGTTGCTGTCTGCCTGGTATTATCGTTTCATTTCAATTTGTTGCTTGTGTTTTTTGCTTTGCGTTTTGCATTTATATTTGTTTCTCTTTGTTGTTTCTGGTTTTTGTTTTGTTTTGTTGTATTACTGAATAATATTTGCATAGTCAAAAAGGAAACATTTTCTTAGTTGTTTGGTTAGTTGTCGCCGCCCTCCTGTGGCTCATCGCCATCGCCCTGGGTGTCGCTGGTCCAGAGAGTCAGGTTATCCCTCAACAGTTGCATGATGAGTGTCGAGTCTTTGTATGAGTCCTCGTTGAGTGTGTCCAACTCGGCTATCGCATCATCGAACGCCTGGATCGGGATCAAACAGAATTCATTATTAGACAACGTTCTTTGGGGTGTTTGTTCTTCATTAGAGGAAATGTTTGGCAAGGCAAAAACAAAAGCATTTTCAAAGTGGCGTTAAAATCATCAAACATTCACAATTTCGATTCGCTTCACTTAACAACTTTACTAAACTAAACTTCAAAGCGGAATATATAAACCAAAATAATAAAGGAGTTTTGTCCTTAACTTAAGAAAAGAAGAAAAATAAACGAAAAATTGTTCACCAGCAAAGGCCGCAGGTAAGTAAGACGGTAGGTCGGTGGTTAGATTACAGGCAAAGTTTTGTTTAAGCACTTCTCATGCGATTCGGGAAAAAGAGGAGGATATACACGGGCTTTCAGGCCCATCCCACAGATGCCGATTTGTTTTTGTTGAGACCAGTTTTATGTCCCACATTTCGCTTGTAATCTTTTTGTAATCATTTGAAGTCTGGTCACAACCTTTTGCCATTGTCCTGAAACGCTTTGTTCGCGTACGTAAATACGTATAAAGTATATCCTTCAACTTGGCTTGGGATTAAGCTCTTTTAAATTGTGGTTTTAGTAATAGCTGGAAATGCTTCTCTCAGTTTTAGTCACAAAACAACGACAACTTATGTGTTTGTGGTGTGTGTGTGTTTGATTAGTAGTGGGGAAATTATAATTAGAACCGGAAGCTAGATTAGGGCATACTTAAGACAGAGATATGCATAAGTTGAACTGAACCTGTTTAGCTAAATGACAAGCCCTCGCTGGTGAATTGATAATTTCGTAATAGAAGACGGAAAAGTTGAGTGCGAGCCCTAATCTGATTGGATGTGTTGGCTGCATTTTGGTTTTTGCAATATCGAACGCCTCCTGATAGGCTTTTTTCGAGTCCTCAACGACGGCTTAGCAATTTACACGATTTTTTTAATTACAATAATAAAAGAAACAAAAATTAAAACAAGTTAGGTAAATATTGAAACAGTTGAATAGTTCATATAGTATATGGATAGAGATAGATAGGGACGTAGTGGAGTGTTTTTGTTTGCTTTGCTCGCTTGCCATACATTTCCAATGAAGTTCATTGATTCATTGTCGTTCAGTTATTAACCTGTTTAGCCAGCTGGCAAGCTTTGTCTGGAGAGTTTAAGATCTCATAATAGAAGACTGAGAAGTTAAGGGCCAGACCCAAACGGATTGGATGTGTTGGCTGCATTTTACCCTTGCTAATGTCAAATGCATCCTGGTAAGCGGTTTGCGAGTCATCAACAACAGCTGCATTTTCAAGAATATTTTTGATTTGTTTATATATATATATATATAGATATCATGTGTATATTAATTGTGTATAGGGGGATATACATAAGTGGGGGGCGGGCACTGATCGATATACTTACCATTGCGTGCATCTCCTGTGGCAACCTCGGCCAAATACCTGTAATAATCGCCCTTCATTTTCAGATAGAACACCTTGCTCTCGGGATTGCTGGCTTTTGGAATAAGATATTTGTCCAGAAGTCCCTGTAAATCAAAAACGTACATTTAATAACTGATTTAAGATATGAAATCGATGTGCAACCACACCGCCAAGTAAATTTACTTTTAATTAGCTATAAAAGCTCCCAAGATTATCATAAGCCTATCATACAATTTTCCATTTAAAATTCCATCAGGTACGAGTGGAATTAAGGCTTACATAACAATATCCATCAACCCCAAGTGAGGAGAAGGGGAAATATGTACCAAGCCCAAGGAAAACTCAAGTTCAACCCTGTCCATGGTCTATTTTTTGATCCAAGTATTTATGGTGGAAAAACGGGTATACATATGTTTACCACCTATTGTACAGGCCAAAGCCACTCTCAGAATTTATGTGTTGGGGAGGGGGGGAAAAAGTGGAAAATGTTCATTTTAAAAATAGATTTATTGATTGAAACAAATTTGATATTTCGCAGGGGCAAGAAAGAAGAGCAAAAAACTGGGCTTTCCACGCCAACCACCACAGCACACCACAGCACACAACAGCCAACAGCGCCACCCATCCACCACACGCCCGACCGACACACAGCTGAGCTCGTTTGGGGCGACTCTATGCGGTGGAGCGGCTGACAGGTTCGAGGCTTTATCCTACAGACTTAGCCATCAATAAATTTAGATGAACAGCGCACCGTAAATTGTGTGTATCGGCTGAGTGATGTGTGGATAAAAATAATTAGATGGACCAATTACACCCCATAAAACAAGGACAGCGACATGACGGACTGACAGGCAGACGGGACGGAACCGGACAGAACGGACGGACTTGCGCAGTCCTTCGAGTGTGTGTTACTTACCAAAACTTCATAGCAGATTTCCCGCAGCTCCTTCTCTACGCGCTCTCTGTACTCACGGGCAAGCTGTTGTTTTCTAGCAGATGCTTCGGTTTTCTGCTCAATGGAGGAGATGACGCGCCACGATGACCTGGTTTTGAAGGTTGGTTGATGGTGGAGAAAGAAAGTGTTAAATGTCAGCGTAAACATTCCATTGATGTATGTATAAAGACATTAATCAAGTACGGTTCAAACGACTTACCTACGAGCACCGACCACATTTTTGTAGGCAACGGAGAGCAGATTTCTTTCCTCATTTGAGAGTTCGACGCCCGTTTCTGTGACGGACTTCATGGCCTGGGCCATGTCATCGTAGCTATATGTAAAAATTACGACAAGTTCAGTAAATATTTGATTGCACATTCCATGTTGTTTCGTCATTGCTTACCGTTCTGATTGCTCGGCCAGTTTAGCCTTCTGGACCAGTTCCTCCTTATCGACTGTCGACATTTTGTTTGTTGTTTTTTGTTCAATTACTTCACAAAACTAAGGATGTATGTGGGGTGTGTCTGTCGTTCACACGGTTTATATATATAAGTGTGTATATATATAGATCCCAGAGGAAAAATCAATTAAAGCAACAGGAATACGCCACAAAGTTGTTTTTATTGGCTTTCTGCAAAAAGATATTTCAAGTAAACAACAACAAATTCATTAAATTTCATACTATAAACATACAAATATTTTTGGGGTAAAAAAGGAATTCGGATAGAGATTTCCCGGAGATTCGGATATTAAATTGAAAACTCTTATATCCAATACACCCAGATTTTGCTCCCAGCAACAACTACAGGGTATGCCGCATACATTTAGTTTGTTGTCATGCTTCCGCTGAGCGAAAGTGTCAAGTTTGAAACTTTTGATGACTCACAGAAGGCCGATCGCTGACTGAATGGCTAATTTACAAGGCAAATAACAAAAATACAGGCATTGGAAACATGTACGCACGTGCGTCAACCATTTAAATCTTAGTTTAGAGTCAGTTTAACAAGACGAATAGTACGAGGATCTGATCTGATCTGATCGTCTGTCTACGGGGAGTGGATGGAAAAGTAGAAAAGACGAGTAAAACACAAGTTCGACAACAAAGATAAAAATAAATCATGAATAAAAAAGAATTCTGAGAGAGGAAGAGAGACGGAGAAAAAAATAGAGCAAAAGGCGGCTCGCCTCTGTGACTATCTGTGTGTTCGTATGTCTGTATTTGAGTGTGCCAAAGATAGATATTCATGTTCGTTCACACATATGTATGTGCGAGATGTACGTTTGATTGCAATTCGTACAGTGACGCACTCCTTTATTTGCACAGTAAGCAACCGGCTATTGATTTACTGCGAATCAGTTATTAACAAAACGAATTGTGCCAGTACTGGCAGGCCAATTCACCGTCAATCTGACTCACGTAATCCGTTTAGAAAATGTTTCGAGCAGAGCAATAGGATCGAATTTTATCGTAGGATCAATTTTCCTGTTCCGTTTGACAGGAAATCGATTAATTTCCGCTCTCTGCCTAGAGAAAGCTCCAATCCAGCACGATGGATTCATTCGGAGTGGGAGTGTGAGTGGGAGGGAGGGAAAAATGCTGTGTGTGTGGGGTGAATGCATGTGGGCGTTGCTGGTATTTTTAGACAGCGGCCGCCACTCTGGACAAAACTTTTTGTTTTCCGTCGAAGGAAAAAAGAGACGGAGAACGACAGAGGAAGCCTCGACAATCAAGCTAGAATGCAGCCGCAATGAATGGAATCTCCCGGTCAGCACATTCGATGTTCTACCGCCCCACCACCACCACCACCTAGCAATCCATAAATTGGATTTAAATTGAGTTCCAGATTACGCCGGCATCTATCGGCCGCCAAATCAAAAAACATTGACCCTTTGTGTCAATGCAAACAATATATCCAAGTACATAATAGACGAGTGGGTGGGTGAGTGAGAGAGGGACAGAGACAGATAGGAGGTATTGCGACCAACTCGTTTTTGGGTCAATGACGTGTTTCTCTGGCGCCCTAATGGCCAAAATATTAAGCGAGGCGTAACGTTACGCTTCCCATTACATGAGTTTTCTATGGAGAGACCTGTATTTGATTAAATAGCTTACAACTTGTCCCGACCACGCAAAAAACAAATATCTGATGATGATGATCATCATCATCGAGAAGAGGAAGAATCGACGCTAACATTGCTCATCCCCATGCATTCCACACTCACACACATGCATTCATTACAAAGAGTTCTGTGACACACCAGCCGGAGACGGAGGGAGCTGCATCGAGCGAAGTCTACAAAAGTGTCGGTCGGCATGGGGCAGACGATGATGACGGCACTTTAAGCACGCTCATACTATATAATATATATATATGTGCGAGTGTTCTTGCGCCGGCCCATGAGCTGAGCCAAGAAACGGTGAATTGGACCCAGCATGCGCAGTAGCTAAAAAGAATAGAAACGTAGTATGTAGAAATTCCTCTACATGTAGACACGCAGCTACACATATCTGTATGTGTGAGGGAAAAAGTTACTAACTTTAGTGGGTAATGTACTAGTGTTAGGCTCTTGACGATGGCGGTGGGGTGCTTGGGGCAATCGTGTTTCCAAGTGCGGCGCTACAGAATTATAAAAATATCCGAGAGCAATGAGGAGAGCGGACGCGTACAAAAATACTCTCGCACACACACACACACATAGCCAGATAGCCGCATAGGCGGCGAGACGAGAGAGAAAATGTATCTACCACAGTCGGACAAAAGTGTGTTGAGTTCAAAAAACACACCTAACCGCGTGTCCCCATCCAAGTTTATATATATATAAACGTATGGGTATATATATCGCTATATATATGTGTATATAGAAGTCGGCTATGCCCGCCGCCTACGAATCTCGCCGCATCACATACATACACCAATACCCTGGCAACTCGGACACTCTTTTTTTCGCACAAATTCACAGTTTCTACGTTTTGCGTAGGATTTTTTTTTGATCGATCCCTTATGGAATGATGCGTAAAAAGGTAGTACGCTCGATACAACCTTATTTGCGCAGTGCGGTATATGTGCACGTACGTTCTGGAAAATTTTCCATCATTTCTCGTATTGGTTTTAACCGATTTTACACGTGTTCTGGCATATTTTCCGTTTTATAATTTTCAGCATATACGTGCACACATTCGCACAAATATCCCATTGTATGTAGTGCACACATACTTTTCGGCCCATCAAAATATGTTACTTACATTCTCGATTAACTTGAAACGACGACGAACACTACCAACGACCGAATGAAAGGTTGCACGGGTTTGCCGCTGTATCTGTGCTGCTATGATGTGATTCTGTGAACGTGTGCGGCGGAGGCACACATACACAGGCGGCGCATGCCCGCCACAAGTGAGCGCATTTCAGGGTTGCCAACGTCAGGTTGGCAGTAATGTTGCCAGGTGTGCACTGCTCTGCGTCAACCGATGGTTAATATTCAAATTTTAAGCAACATAGCTGTATCTGTGTTGTATGTATGGACTTGGGGCCAATAAAATAAATATATACATCAATTAACACGTCTGGAATGTTTTGAACTAACAGAAGCAGGCAACATAGTCCCTCACTGGGCGCGTCAATTGTGCGCAATTGCCATTTAATGGTATAATTTGAACGTAGCGTAGACAGGCGGGCATTATGAGCGTTGAAATTACGAATATGAATTAACATTCATGTGCTGTGCTTACACATCCTCTATGGGATGTTGAAGAGTTTTCGAGAACGATAGTTTTGCGATTCCCCACTACCTGTTGAAACTTTGAGGCGAGGCGGTTATCTGCTGGCAGATTACGTTTTTATCTTAACTTTATGGCCCTGAAGGAGGCACCTAATCGGCAGATGTATATTGTTGATAAGAAGCAGCAAATTGGCTTAATTCTAATGTGGAAAGCATTGAATTTCCGCTCTGCACAGAGCATATGGGCTGGCGAGGCGAGATATCACCTCCACTGATGTTTGAAAGAGTAACTGAATTAAAGTTTTTGTTGCTGGCAACGCTGTTTACTTTTTACTTGGCAATTCACAAAGAACAAGACGGAAAAAATTACGTCATCGGCGTCCTATTCTCTCACACACATATGCGGTAATTCAACTGGCATTTGGCAATAGTTGTTAATCACACGTAGCACTTGAGGACAGGACCACTCCACTGCATTCCCATAGATTCCCAATTAGGCAATCAAATCAATAAATATGTACATATGTGGTATATAAAGAAAAATTAGGGCCGCCGACAATATGGCGGTCAGAAGCCGACGGACGATTCACAAATTGCATGACTCACTGCGCCTTCGCGTTTTTACATATATTTACAAAAGACACTTGCCCCGATGTACGAATGTATTAACTAATACTTTACTCTGGCATTTAACTTATTTATTTAATTAAAATAACTCCCACCTCTTTCGACACTCGCTCGCTCGGTTTTAGGGATGCTAAATATTGAGACATCAAAGTATCGATGTGTATTTTTGGTTGATGATATATTTGCAGGTGATATTTTTTTGGACTGATGAAAATATTAATTTGTATTTTTTGTGGATATACATTATCAACAGAACTGCTTTTCCGAATTTGTAGCAAATTGGCGCTATTTTTCTGTTGTTTAACGTCTGAATATCACAAACCCGCGACTTTTGATTCGATGCTCCAAAAGTATGATATTTTTGTGCGATAAGGGGAACACATCGGCGCTTTCTTTTTAAAAATAAAAATATTAAAAATGCCATTTTCAAGGTCATGGGCTACAAAGAGTGAAATTGCAACTATCTGGGCATCGCAGATGACAATGTTCAATGGCGAGGGCAGGTTTCTCAGCCAGGAGCACCTGAAAATCTCATATGGTGGAACTTGCTGACTTTTTCGTGATGGTATATTCAAAAACCTAATTTGTCTCGATGCATGTGCGTGATTAGCGTGAGTGCTGCTTGCCATCTCCAACGTATAACCTGCCAAGGATGCATTCCGATACAAGTACCACCTATCGATACTAGCGAGGCTCTCATCGATACTCTCACGCTCTGCACGTGTTTACTGCACGCATTATTTTGGTGTTTTCAACTTTATATTTAAACCAGTCGTTACCTGCACATAAAAATGCCACGCTCCAAACGTGATAAGAAAGGTATGTCGTCAGCTATTCATTGAAACATTTTTAGCAGTTCTAAGCCCAGAAACCGTCCATTACAGTTTCGTTAACAAAGACGGACCGCAAAGGTCTGGCTTGGAAACAGCGATTCGTCGATGATATCAGATTCTGCGTAGGAAAGTACCCCAACATATTCGTGTTCCAGGTGCAAAACATGCGCAACAGCATACTGAAGGACCTGCGACAGGAATGGAAAAACAACTCGCGCATCATTTTTGGCAAAAACCGCGTAATGCAAATCGGCCTGGGACGCACAAAGAGCGAAGAAATGGAAGCAGGTCTGCACAAGGTAAAATATCTTGTCCCTCCATCTATATATAGCATTTCTAATTTTTTGTATGTTGAATGTAGCTTGCCAAGCGCCTCAACGGCCAGGTGGGTCTACTGTTCACAGAAAAGTCCAAAGAGGAGGTCCTGGAATGGGCCGAAAACTACTGGGCGGTGGAATATGCGCGAAGTGGTTTCATAGCAACCGAGACGGTTACATTGCCAGCCGGTCCCCTCGAGGACTTTGCCCACTCCATGGAGCCGCATTTGCGTTCGTTGGGCATGCCCACCAAGCTGGAAAAGGGCATCGTAACCATCTACAGTGATTATACCGTGTGCGAAGAGGGAAAGGTGCTAACACCCGAGCAGGCGCGTATACTCAAACTGGTGGGCAAGCCAATGGCCAAGTTCCGAATGACGATGAGATGCTCTTGGACAAAGAGTGATGGCTTCCAGTTGCACGTTGAGGACGGTATAAACGATGAGACCCAAGTCGACAGCGCCGTAGAAGAGGATGCAGAGGATATGGAAGACGATGACGATGAGGAGGTTGAAGACGAAGCTGAATAAATTAGTTTTAAGTGTAGAATTAATTGTTTATGTATATATGAAGTAAAAAATATATGCACATATACTTTTATCAGATATTTGGTGGTCTTCGAAAGTAGTTTCATTACATAAAATCATACTATATATATATGTAGGTATATTTGACATTATATTATCTTACGATCAACACAGATAATACTTTACTCGAACATTAAGCTAAAACTAAGTAAACGAAAACACTTAAGAAGCATTTGTGTATAATATTGCAGCAAAGTCAAAGCCATTTCACGTTGCACAGAAATAAAAGATAAGCAAAGGCACTCCAGGGAACCCAAACACATCCGGATCCTCAACTCGCAACCGGTGATTCGCAGCCATTGTCCGTCACTATGAACAGCACCAGGGGCTGATCACCGCCGTCTCCGTCTTCCAATTTATCTACACTGACGACACCCAGCAGATCGTTTCCCGACAGGGATGGGGCATGCGATGATAAGGCATCTAGCTCCAGTGCACTTGTTGTTGCGCTGAGAAAGAGTTCCAAGGGAATTCCCTGCTCCAAGAGTTCGGGATTTGAATTCTCAGCAAGCGTAGTTTGATTCTCGATACTGTCTGGCCCCATATCTGTCATCAAATCCATCTGCTCATCATCCTCCCTCTCTGCTGGCAACGCAAACGGCTCCTCAGTGGCATCCATATGTTATTTGCCCGATAGCAAGGCTGGCGCCGAAATAGCGGGTACAGTGCATCCGGCCTCCATATGCTCGATGACCTGCTGCTTCAGCTGTGCCACATGATCCTTGAGGCTCTTCACAATGCCGCCCAAATCAACGTTCTCGCCCTTCAGAATCTTAACGCGGTCTTCCAGCTTCGAGATGCGTTCCAGCTTTCGCTTGCGGCACTTGGATGCGGCAACGCGATTCCGTTGACGCTTGCGCTCCAGCTTGATCTTTTCCTGGGTTTCCATATCGATTGGACTAACCGTTGGGGAGCCGGCTGGGTTCTGGGGCTCATCCTTGATGACAGAGAAGCCATCGCCCATGCTCGCATATGTAAAGGTACCACCGCTGATGCCATTATTCACTGCCGTCATAGTGGTGCCAGTGACAGTTGGGTTGGCGGTTGGATTGCCGGCCGGGAAGGCCTGCGAGTTGGTGTGCAGGTTCTGCAGTGCCTCTTCGAAGCCCTTGCCAAAGGCTTCCTGTTCGGAGGTAACCGGTCCCACCTTGGTTGGAAACACTTTGCCTGGCTGTGGCGTTTGCATCAGGTTGTTGGAGAGCAGTATTTTTTCCAGGTCTGGTGTGTTCAGGGTCTTGGCTTGCAGATCTGGCGAGTTAATCACCAGCGGCGCTATAATGCGTTTGTTTTTCGCTCCTTTGTTGTTCAGGTCCAAGAAGCCCGGACGTTTATTCGCGTTGGGCGTTGAGGTGAGGCCAGGTGTTTGAAAATCCAACGACATAGCCGAGTTCTCTTCGTTGCCTACTGGTTCTGTCTTTGGCACAATCGATGCGGCGCCCGATCCAGCACTGGCGCTCGATGCATTCGCATTGGAAAGGGAAGCGGCGGACACGGGGGTTTTCATCTTTGCACAAGTGATGACGTCAGTCTGCTTCCAATGAAACGAAATATAAACAAGAGGTTCAATCTGATAACTCGTTTCCCACTTGATGACTCATACAAATATTTTCCTCTTCTTCTTACTCACCCGAACAAAATAAGTGCTGTGCCGTGTGTAGAGTTTATTCCGTATTTATACGTGCACAGGTGTGTGTCTTTTATCCCCGGATACTTGATGTTTTATTGCCGTATTTCGAAATAGCACCAAATTATTTCCAGCAATTTATTTAGAATTTTTTAAAAATATTTTTGCGAAATTACGCGTCAAGTGGTGTTTTGATAGTTTAGTGTGGCCGCAGCTTTTAGCTGACGGACTTAACCCACTTAACACCCCTCTATTTAAAAAGTTGAGCACCCTTTGTTAAGCCGCGGAAAATAATACTGTTTGCAAAGGCTCCTTGTAGCCCCATCCTCCTCTTTACTTACAAAACAAAAATGAAAACCGATATCTTTCACCTGTAATGCGTAAAATATGTTTAAGTTACATAAATATCGTGGAAATATTAAAAACCCCCCTGGCCGACAATGGGTTAACGTTCTATTTTATTGATTGAAATCGTATTCCATGATTTTGATATTCAGTTTAATATTACTAGCTAGTTGGCACTCTCAGCCCTAAAAAAATAATTTTATCCGATAGATACATAAATTTTCTACAAGATTGGCTAGTTTTCAGAAGTCCTTTTTATTGCATTGTTTATTATGTGGTTCAAACATAAACGGCCTAATCGCCTATTCATTTTTCCATGTTGCTAAAACTTTTCCCATACAAATCAAATGTATCTTACGGGAAATTTACTACATGGCAACTACACAGGAACGTCGTGTTTATTGACTGTCATTCGACATAGATTGTTTGTGACATATCGAAGTTGAATTATGCCCGCCAATCTGCTCTGAGACTGGTGAACTTAGTGAAATTCGGGAATGGTACGATTTCATTATGGACATGGTATGGATAAGGGCAAAGTTAAAAGTCGAGTTTTTGGAGGCCGAAGCCAAACTTATTTATTTTAAATTGTTGATAACTGGTATAGCATATATAGTTTCAAGTATGTTTCTTGGGTTTTCGCAAACTGTAGCATTTACATCAAATTTAAATGTATATAAGTATGTATATATCGTATATAATATAGTGGGTAAATATGTAAATACATTTATAATATTTTGATTAAATATAATGAATATATTTTAATCAATCATTGTTGCAGTTCAGCGGCACACTTGGGACTTAGTTTTAGTAAGTTTCCATTTCCCCTCTCCTTTCTCCATTCCATTGTAGTTTTGTATATTATATAATCACATCACATCTATAGATCTGTTAAGAACGTAAAATATATGTCTTAGTTATGTCCATTTATTGTTTTCACACTGAAACACATTTAAGTATATATATGTTTATTCGTAGATAAGTTTAAATATATAATATATATGTGTATATCTGTATGTAGAGTTTTGTATCTCTGATAGAATAGTTATAGTTGTGGACAACCCTATAGCTGACAATTTGGGACCGGACCTTGCTGGGAGATACTTTTGATCGGCTCATTCTCTCCTACAATACAATCTACTCGTATTTTATTATTTAATTACGTTTATTTCTGTCTGAACTAACTGAATGCAAAGCTGTGGTTAAGCATTTGATTCTCGATTGGTGGCTAGCTGCCTGTTTGTAATTCGCTCTAATAGTCTCGCAAGGAGAATATAAATAAATATACACAAAAGGCAAATAAAACTGATACGTAAAACTTATAATGTAAATCTAACATACATATATGCGCAATAATTCTCTTTTGGTTTTTGTTTCTGTTTTTGTCTTTTGATTATATATATGTAGGTCCTGTGGATATATATTGTAGTACGTTTGATTACGACCTTTTTTGTACACAAAAACACGTATATAACATTAAATATGTTTAGCAAACTTCTTGTATTTGGACATTTAACATTCATTTAGTATTTGTTGTGTTGTTTTGTGTTTTGTTGTGTGGTTCTAAGACGCTGCTTAAATGGACTGTGGTTCTCTATTGTATTTGCGTATACATACATGTAGGTATAGTACTTATTTCACTGGTTTCAAGCTGCTTGTGCTACTGGGCAACTGGGCAATGGGCAATTGGGCTTTTGGTTACTCTCGCATTCCCAATGAAAAGCCCATCCATCATATTCGGTGTCAACTGCTGCAGGTTCAAGTGGATTATACATGTATTTTTGCAATTAGCATAAATAGTTTTATAGGTTGCCCTCTGCCACCGCCTATGGAGTGGTAGACAGGAAAATACACACATCAAAATATTCTATATATTTGGTTTTGGTTTTGAATCAAACGTTTGATCTTTGCCAGTTCAGCATATTTTGTTTTCTTTTGATTAATAGTATATGGGGCCCCCTGTTTGCTTTTGATTATTCCTTTTGAACGCACACAAAGAAGTTGGGAATGATGGGGAAACGTTTATAGCCCGATCTCACGCATGGCCCTATACAGACAGGGATTCTTCAGGCACTCGCGCGGTCCCAGCTGTCGGCCGGGCGTGCCGCGAAGTATCATCAGAATGGAGCGAGCCGCCGACTGGCAATCGTTACTGCTGCCACAGATGCTGTCCGCCTCGGCCAAATACTGATAGTCGCAGGCCACCTGCGAGGCTCCCTGTTGTAAAATTAAAATATACTTTCATCAGTTTCATGCCTTCACCCACTTACTGTGGGGCAGTACTTACACAGAGATAGCAGATCTGGTGGACACCGCAAAGGGGCAGAAGCTCTTGGTTGATGTCCCCTGAAATCAAATCGATACCCCGACAGCGCTCCGCCATGGACTCAATGACGGGGCACTGGTTGGAGCCGATTATGTAGTTCTTGTTACCCAGATAGGCATCGTTCAGGGTCTCGTAGGGGGCACTTCCAGCGCTGAGGGCCTCCTCCATGGTGTTGGGCTGCTCCGGATAACGTAAGTACCCGCTGCGCTTCCTCTTCTCCATATCCTGCGGCGGCTTGGCATCCCTGAGTGATCGTGGAGCAGAACATTAAGTGAGGAATATCTGGGATCTGGGATGTGGCTTACTCGGCCTGCTCCTTCTTGACGCTGAAGCGCTTCTTGGCCGTCCAGTAGTTGGACTCTAGGGTGTTCTCCTCCGACTCTGGTTCGATGGTGTTGCGCATCAGGTGGTTATCGTTGTCCACCGACTGACGCAGCTTGTCCAGGGCACGGCGCATCTTCTCCAGGCTGTAGGCCGTGGCCAGGCGGGACAGTACGTGGTCCTTGATCTTGCGTATGTCCTCCCTGTTGTTGACGCCCTCGTGGGCACCCGTATACTTGATGGTCTCATCGATGATGAAGTCCTCAATCGACTGCAGCTTCCTGTCCATGCTCTCCAGCTTCTCCGTGTCGACGTCCCGCTTCTTCTTCTTCTCGTCCTCCACATCCGGCTCCTCCTCTTCGTTGTTGTTACTATTGTTGTTTGTGCTGTCATTTTCTGAACGCTTCTTCGCTTGCCTATACAAATGGGATACAATAATCTACTGTAGATCCAAACTACTAGCGAAAACTCACTCAGTGTCCTTGGCAGACGACTTCTTCTTGCGGTCTAGGTCCAGACCAAAGTACTGGGACCAGTCGATCGACTTCTTGGCCCTCAGCATCAGATGGCCCACTGTGGGAGCCCGCAGATGCTGCTTGGAGTGGGCGCCACCACCGCCGACTGCGGCTCGCTTCTTCTTGCGGCGCCGCTCCTCGGCCACTGTCTCGGTGTCCGGCTCAGCGTCGCCCTCATCCTCATCGAACTCATCGTGATCGTCCTCATCGGAGCTCTCCTCACCCTCATCGTCGTGCTCGTCCATGTCGTGCTCATCACTGTCCCTGCGATGGACGTGATCGCTGCGCTTGCGATGGCGGTACTCCGGACCCATGCCGGGTACGTGGTTGCCATGGTGACCGGCGTGTCCGCCATGCTGGACCATCTCGCCAGCTCCAGCGGGTGCGGGAGCGGGTGCGGGTGCGGCAGGCTTCTCCTTGGTCACGTTCACGCGCTGGAAGTTAATCTCCAATCGCATGTCACCCAGAGCCGTGGTCGTGGCTGCTGGCAACTGTGGGACATGGGCGGTGGTCGTAGTATTGGGCTCATCGGCCGAACGCTTCTTTTTCTCGTCCGGCTGCTCCTGTTGCGGCTTTAGATGGGAGTCGACGGGACTGCCAAACAGCTCGCTCAGCTCCTGGGCCACTCGCTCGTCGGTCTTGCCCAGCGGCATCTGTTCCTGGTTGCTGCCAATGGCTCGCTTGGCCACTGGGAAGCGCTTCTTCTTGTCGGCATTGTACGGCAGCCAGGGCAGGACCGGATAGGAGCGCTTCTTCTGCATCAGCAGGTAGTACGGCGGCACTCGCATCCGCTTCTTCTGTTCGAACAGCTCGGGATCCAGATCCTGTTCCGGCTGGTGCTGGTGCTGCTGCGGCTGCACATCTTTGCCCAGTTGCTGGCGCTGGTCGAACTGATGCCACCACTGACGCACTGCATCCTTGTAGCGCTCGTTGCGCTCCTGCTCCCCGGCCTCCTCGATCTCGCGCAGAAACTGATCCGCCAGCTCGTTATGTGTGGGCTCTCCGCTCAGTGGTTGAATCTCACGTTCACGGAACACAGACGGAGCTGGTGCATCTGCAAGAGTCCAAAGAAGCGAAAACCATCGATGAGCTAACCGTGTGACCTTGAAATTAAATCTGAAACAGGTTGCCCCGAGTGGCAGCGCCATAAATCTTTTACCCAAACGGACATGCATCAAGTTGTTGGCCCCTGCGAAAGCCATTAAATCAAATGACAGGAAGGAAGGCAGGCAGGCAGCCAGGCAGGCAGCCAGGCAGGCAGGCAGGCAGGATCTGCTTCCAGCTGATTGCACTCGTCATCGACCCACATATCACCCAACTAATGCCACTCACAAGCTAATCGGAGCTAAGTGGTTTTAGTCGGTGGTGCCATTGTTATTCCTTATATGTATGTATGTACACTCAATCCTCCATATATTTTCGGCCAGCTTCCAGCTTCTCGAGTGTGCGTGCGTGTGCGTGTTTGCTTTGCTTTGAGCTTTTACTTACCGAGCTGCTCGTCACGTTCTCGGAAGAGGGACGGGGCGGCGGCGGCGGCTGCGGCGGAGAAGCGTTTCCTCTTCTCATCGGCAAAGAGATTATTGCGAATGTTGCCCACATCCTCGCCAGCTGCGGGGCCAAAGTCATAGCCACTGAACGGTGGGCCCAGGGCGCGATCCGGCTCAAAGTCGTCCGAGTCGCGGTCTAAGTACTTGGCGAGCACTTTATTAACGCGATGCCGATTACGATTCTTGCTCTTTCCAAATAAGTCTGCATCTGGGGCAATCGTGAGAACACAAAAGAACGGGACCGACCACAGGAGAGCGGAGCAGTGAGGACAAAAGGATAAAAGAGAAACAGAAATGAAAAAAAGAAAGGAAACGGTAAATGTGATTGTCAAAGTGCGCTGTGCTGTAATGTGCTCAATGGGTCAGAGCGGGACGGCCCCTGTGCGTCTTATGTCTATTTAGGGGCCGACACGGACACGTGCCCGTTGCATACGTATATATACGTATATTGGAATCCCTTCTTCATTATTGTCGGATATCAGTTACAGATGACAACCCGAGCCCCCATGCCATGCAGCTGACAGGCAACTGCGTGGGTTGCCAGCATCGCGTAAGTTTCGCGGTTTTGGTCACTTCAAGGTTTAATCAAAGCTACATTTATTTTTCTGCAGCAGACATCTGATGGGTTCGTGACAGCCAAAGTGTGGCTGTGGCTGTGGTTGTGCGTGTGCAGTTTACGTAAGCAGGCAACTACGCTCTACGGGAGATTTTCTTTCGTTTTTGCACGTCACTTACCTTCGTCCCAGTCATCCCGCGGGGGTGGATCATTTAACGGATATTTGGCTGCCTCGCGACGATGCAGTTCGTCAACGGCTGCCTGGAGCGAGTAGGCGGCGGTCCGCTGTGGTGTGGCCCAGATGCACTGCAGCAGCAGTAGCGCCGCCAGGCTCAAAAATCGCTTAGCCATCCTTACTGTCGCTGGCTCACTCTAACAACTGAAACAAAAGCAAAAGGCAAAGAGATGGGTTCAAAAAAGGATACGCTACGGTTGAAGGGCTGAAAAATAACCGCATTAAAAACGATTTTATGCTCAACACGTTCCACGGAGCGGCGCACGGTATAAAAAACTTTTAATTACATTTTCGCTTTTAAGCAAGGTTTTTATATATAAAGTATGTGTGTGTGTGTGTGTGTTTTGGAGGTGTCATGATGCGCCGACTACGCTACTTTATGGCGTGTGAAATTCCATATTACTCCACTTAATTATGCAGATCGACATCATCAGGTAACCAAATTCCGCCCGACCAAAGGTATTTGAATAATCTTCCCATTGGGTCCCGACTATATAATGAATAGAAGAGCATCCATCCTCTACCGCCCACACACGCACATAAAATGCCTTCCCCTTATAAATCAATAAAATTCCAATGTGCGTGAATATTCTCATCATCTTTGGAGCAGTGGAGGGAGAGCTTCATAGTATGTACACATCTTCGTCTTCGTCTGCTCCGTGGGCAGAATTCTTGGTCGCTGACAAAAGCCAGAGTTGACAATTATGCGAAAGTTGAATGGTTGGTCGGATGCCAAATGCCATTGAGTGCGAGCTACCCATCCCAGCCCAACCCATGCCATGCCATCCATTCATATCATTCCTCATTCCTTTTCCTAACTATGGCGCACATAAGTATGCTATACATTCCTGGCTTCAGCAGAGAACTCGAATGAATCGCAATGAATGGACGCCTTGGACGTATTATATGTGGATGTCCAGCTACCCACAGAGGGGCTCTATCTGCCTATCTGCATGCCCCCCGTACCTATGGCAACGTTAGCTTTTCATTTTTACCAGTAAATGTCAAGGCAGTCGACAGTGTTTTCTTCCTTTCTTTGGCCTTTCTTTAGGTTAGCAGCTCCCTTGCACCTTTTGTGTCTGGCCTACAGCTGTTGGCTTTATTATTCTTGGCTTAGTTGCTGCCTTCATTATATTATTGCTGCATGGCTGGCTCTTGTCTCATCACCATCTAGTCTGGTCGTTTATTCCGCCTTCGCGTTGAGTAGTTTAGCAGCGGATGCAAGAACGCAAATGCGAAAAACGGATTTCAGTCTCATTGAATTACATAAGTTTTGTTGTTGGGCTACGTGCTCTTTGGACTGTTTGGCCTGTTGCTGCAAATTGTTCTGTGGCGTTTTCCGCAGCGGGAAAAAAAAAAATCTAATTTGCCCCTTACAGCTGCAGCCGGAGCGTGTGATTGAATATTGATTGGAGCCTCAGCTTTTGTCTTACGCAACTGGTGCCAGTCCTTCATTCAATTGCACACTACAAAGATTTCCCAGAAAATTCATTTTGTGTCCCTCTCAACATACAATTAGGGTCCATAATAGAGTGGCAGGAGTGGCAGGAGCAGTGGATAGCGGTTGGCTGACCCAGCAGGAAATTCATATTAGCGAAATAATTGAATTTGTCGCAGTAATTTTGAAACCATGGATACCCTGCGCTGGATTATGTATTTTCTCTGTATTTCCCTGCAACAAATTGGTACAAATTGAATTGGGCATTCGCCGGCGGTGGTCCCCAGCTAAGTGAGTCGCGTCCGCGATGCATTTTGCCAGAGGAAGAGTTCGTGTCAGTGTCAGTGACTAATTAGGCTGCTGGGGGAAAAAGCTTTTTGGGCTAAAATATTTAAATGGAGTCGTGTTGGGGACACAACAACTCGGGCTGAATGCTGCTTTGGGTCCTGGGGCCAACTTCCGCGACGACAGGAGGACCAACTTGTTTGTCAAGCTCGTTATGCGAGTGCCACCCCTCCGACTGTGTATGTGTGTGTGTGTGTATCTTTTGATGTATGCAATTTACAGCTATTCAGCGAACAATTTGTGAAATCAAGCAAATTGCAATATATAATTAGAGACAAGAAATGAGAGAGAGTGCTGCGAATCAATTTTACGCAATATTCGTGGCGGCGTCTTTCTTCCGCCCTTGCCCACCCACGCAAATGGACAAACGAAAAACAAATCAATGGCAACATTATGCACAGAGTTGGCACAGCTCTCAGCCGACTAACAATTTCGTTTTCATCATGCGAGTATTTATGATTTGCTACTCACTTGATTGCAGTGTTTTGTGGATTGCACTTTTTCCTCGAATATTTGTATAAACTTTTCCTCAGACACTTTTCACAACATGGCGTCACGCCTACGCCAGAGCACTGAAAATACGGAATACGGTTCCTGCCTCAGTCCTAAGTCAAGACGGAAACAAGAGTGGCAGACCACTGGGACAGGCCTCGGTATTTTATACAGCGAGCAGTCAACGAGGACCGACCGACAAACCGAACTCATCTCTCCGAACGGTACACGAGCGAACGCAGCAAAAGTTTCGGGAGAGAGACAGACAGCTAAGCTGTTGCTCCAGGAGCTTTCGCTCGCAAGCCAAAACCCATCCATGCACTCTCCCGCCCTAGAGCGAGAGGGAAAGGTTTCTGAATGCGTACAAATTTTTGTGGGAACGAAGTGGGCCGTACGCATCGCCTCCTTCCCTTCATGTGTGTATGTCTGGTGCTCCTACTATTGTCAGTATCACTTTGATATTCCAAATTGAAACATATCAACTCCATATACCTGTATCTCAGAAAAATATTAAGTAGTTTCCACGGTTTCCAAAAATGAGCGGCTGGAAGCAGTTCTTGGCTGGCATTATAGCCGCTTTAGGTGCGTTCTGCTTGGGCTGCTGCATCGGGTGGTCGGGACCTGTTGAGAGAGAAGTTAGGATGGGAGCCGCATACAAATTTGTGCCCACCTCCATGGAATGGGGCTGGATATCCTCGTTGATGACACTAGGAGGTGCCGCCTCTTGCATCCCCGTTGGAATTCTAATTGGGATCTTTGGACGAAAGATCACGATGCTGGGCCTGGCACCGCCCTTCATGATCGGCTGGCTGCTGATCATCTTGGCCCAGAAGCCCTTCATGCTGATGATTGGACGCTTCATTGTGGGAGCCTGTGGCGGAGCCTTCTGCATCACGGCTCCCATGTACAACACGGAGATCGCCGAGCTGAGCAAGCGCGGCGTCATGGGCTGCTTCTTCCAGCTGTTGATCGTCCACGGCATCCTATACGCCTTCATAGTGGGTGCCTACGCCAAAGTTAAGGTGATGAACATACTCTGCGCCATCTGGCCGATCATCTTCTTTGTGCTCTTCATTTGGATGCCGGAATCGCCCGTGTATCTGGCCCAGAAGGGCAAGAACGACAAAGCGGAGAAGTCGCTGAAGTTTCTTCGTGGCAAGGACGCCGACGTTAGTGCGGAGGCTAGCCAAATGGCAAGCGAAGGCCAAAAGGAGAAGGTCAAACCGATGCAGGCCCTCTGTCGCAGGAACACTCTCAAGAGTCTGGCCATCTCGATGATGCTGATGCTTTTCCAGCAGGTAACCGGCATCAATGCAATCCTCTTCTACGCCACTGGCATATTCATTGATGCTGGCACTGGATTTTCGCCCTCAACCTCCACAATTATCCTGGGCGTGGTCCAAGTCATCGCCACCATTATCTCCATTGTGCTGATCGACAAAGTGGGGCGCAAGATCCTGCTGCTCGTCTCCGCAGCCCTTATGTTCCTCGCTACCCTCATCATGGCCATTTACTTCCAATGGCTGGCGAAAAAGGATGTCGGCTGGCTGCCCGTGTTTGCTGTTTGCGTCTTCATCATTGGATTCTCATTTGGATTTGGGCCCGTTCCCTGGCTGTTGATGGCCGAACTGTTCGCCGAGGATGCCAAGCCCGTGGCCGGAGCCATTGCGGGTACTACCAACTGGGTTTTTGCCTTCTGTGTGACTCTGGCCTTTCCGATCATCAAGGACGAAGCTGGTCCTGCTGCCTGCTTCTGGATCTTCGCCGCAGTCTCCTTTGCTGCCATCCTTTTCGTTCTGTTCCTGGTGCCCGAGACGAAGGGCAAGACTCTGAACGAGATCCAAGGAATGATCGCTGGCGGCAAAAAGGATTAGAGAATTCATCCTCAACATTTTCGTTGTGACTTGCAGTTGTAGCAAATTATGTTTAGAAAACAAAAAAAGTTACACAAGGTATGAACATCGCTGTCGATTCTCAGGATGGGCACTTTGGGGGCGGGGGGTGGTTTGGGAACTTTTTATAAATAGATAGTTTGGTAGCTATTGAAGGTTTGATTTATTATCAAAAGTTCGAGCCCAAGGGTCTTATTTCTTATAGAATTTTATTATCTTATGATCAAGAAAATTATTTCATTAACTAAAAATAAATACAATATATTTATTTTACATTAATTTTTAGTGTTTAAAAATAAGATTAAGTTACACGTTGAGTTTAAAATGCACTAAGACTACATTCATAGATGAGGATCGTTCCCCTGCCTTTTATTCATTCTCTTCTGCATGCTTCGCAGTTTTCATGACTAATGACAGATAAAACTTTGCATTGAAATTCTCACTGACGGAAATCCAACAGAAATCCAAACAAAAATCCATCCAGAAATTTAACCTAAAGCTGGCTGTGTTCAGACTTTTCTCAGTATCACTTTGATATTCCAAATTAAGCCATATATAGAATCTATATATAATATATCACAGAAAAATATATAGTAATTTCCACAATTCTCCAAAATGGGTGGTTGGAAGCAGTACTTGGCTGGTGTTGCTGCCGCTTTTGGTGCCTTTTGCTTGGGCGCCAGCATTGGCTGGTCGGGTCCTGTGGAGAAAGAAGTTCGAATGGGGCTCGCATACAAATTCGCACCCACCTCCATGGAATGGGGCTGGGTCTCATCGCTGCTGACATTGGGAGCTGCCGCCTCTTGCATCCCCGCTGGCATTCTAATTGGCATATTTGGACGAAAGATCACGATGCTGGGCCTGGCGCCCCCCTTCCTCATCGGCTGGCTGCTGATCATCTTGGCCCAGAAGCCCTTCATGCTGATGATCGGACGTTTCATTGTGGGAGCCTGTGGCGGAGCCTTCTGCATCACGGCTCCCATGTACAACACGGAGATCGCCGAGCTGAGCAAGCGCGGCGTCATGGGCTGCTTCTTCCAGTTGCTGATCGTTCACGGCGTGCTCTACGGCTTCATCGTGGGTGCCTACGCCAAAGTTAAATTGATGAACATACTCTGCGGCATCCTGCCTATCATCTTCTTTTTGTTCTTCATGTGGATGCCGGAATCGCCCGTCTATCTGGCCCAGAAGGGCAAGAACGAAAGAGCGGAGAGGTCGCTGAAGTTTCTTCGGGGCAAGGACGCCGACGTTAGTGCGGAGGCTAGCCAAATGGCAAGCGAAGGCCAAAAGGAGAAGGTCAAACCGATGCAGGCCCTCTGCCGCAAGACCACTCTCAAGAGCCTGGCCATCTCGATGATGCTGATGGTGTTTCAGCAGATTACTGGCATCAATGCCATCATCTTTTACTCCACTGGGATATTCACAGCGGCCGGCACTGGGACTCTCGCCCTCAACCTCCACAATTATCATCGGGCTGGTTATGGTTATTGCCACCATTATCTCGATTGTTCTGATCGACAAAGTGGGGCGCAAGATCCTGCTGCTCGTCTCGGCGGCCCTTATGTTTATCACTACCCTCATCATGGCCATTTACTTTCAATGGCTGACTCAGAAAGACGTTGGCTGGCTGCCCGTGCTTGCTGTTTGCATCTTCATCAGTGGATTCTCATTTGGATTTGGACCCGTTCCCTGGCTGTTAATGGCTGAGCTGTTCGCCGAGGATGCCAAGCCCGTGGCCGGAGCCATAGCGGGCACAACCAACTGGATATGCGCCTTTATTGTGACCCTTGCTTTTCCTCTGATCAAGGACGAAGCTGGTCCTGCTGCCTGCTTCTGGATCTTCGCCGCAGTCTCCTTTGCTGCCATCCTTTTCGTTCTGTTCCTGGTGCCCGAGACGAAGGGCAAGACTCTGAACGAGATCCAAGGACTGATCGCTGGCGGCAAAAAGGATTAGAGACTTCATCCTCAACATTTTCGTTGTGATTTACACTTGTAGCAAATTATGTTAATACAAAAGAAAGATTATTCTTGTATGGTATAAACACAGTGCCTGTCAATTCTCAGTATATTAAGTCATGGGGACTTTATTATACCCGTACTCAAAAATTTGTGGTAAAAGTGGATGTGTGCAACGCAGAGAAGGAAACGTTTCCGACCCCATAAAGTATATATATTCTTCATCAGCATCAATAGCCGAGTCGATATAACAATGTCCGTCTGTCCGTACGTCCGTCCGTCCGTCTGTCCGTCTCGATGAGCGCCTAGATCTCAGAGACTATAAGAGCTAGAGAAACCAAATTTGGTTACCATACTCATGTGATATCACACTGCTACAAGTGTATTTCAAAATTTCGCCCTGCTCCCTTCCGCCCCACAAAGGACGAAAATTTTAAACATACGATAAAACTAAAAGCGCAGTATCGTAGAGAATTCCCATATCTACCAGATTGCCGAATCTGAATAGGATCGGATCATAATTATAGCCAGAGTGAAGAAATTAATTTTTAGTTGCTTCCCCCGCCTCCTTCAGCAAGAGACCCGCCTCGTTATGTACGCGAGCGCCCTCTAGCGGAAGAGATGTAGAATCTAAATGGTACATGTAGAATCTACATGTTAGATGTAAAATATACATTGTAGATGTAGATAACAGATGTAGCAAAAATGTATATACTGACTGTTTATAAATTTATTTATTTCCTATAGTATTTTATTATCGTATGATCGAGCTTATAAGTACCTATTTTTATTTATATCTATGGATATAAAACTCAGCACATTAATTCAGGATGCACAATAATCACCTACATAGATGAGGCTGTCGCTGCTTTTGCGGGCTGCTGCCACAGTTCATTCTGTGGGAGATAATCGTACGGAATTCTCTAGAAGATGGGATAGGATGCTCTTCACTTTTCGTGACAGATAGAGGGTCAACTAATTGTATGTATACAGTGCCGTTCAACTTAATAGGTTTGACAAATTTCCAAAGTAAAACCGCTAAATCTTATCCAGCAACTTACCGATTTTTATGAAATAATTTTTATTTTATAGATTGATTAAGTGTTAATGAAATCAGAAAGTATGCGGTCTCTAGGATACGAATTTCTAAGACGTTTTTATATTTTTTCAGAACCAAAGGAAAAACGCTCCTTTATTTTAGCTTAATTGAATATGTTCAAGCTTAATTTTTGTGTTTTTCCTATTTGAATTCAATGTAATTAATTGTAGAAAACTTGTAGGTAAATGCGTATTTTCTTTCCAAATGTATCTGATTTTCGCCCACAAGGTATAAGAGGTATATGTACATACTACTCTTGTGTGTGTACATACACATTTTCTGCTCACTTCATCATCAGCGGTGAGTGTGTTGCAACATCTGACACCTGTTGTTGTTGTTGTTGGTTTTGGTGTTGCTGGTGCTGTTGAGTTGCCCGGGCAGCTCCTAAAATCAAGGTCGAGGTATGCTATAAATAGCTGCAGCTGCAGCACTTACCCATCCATCCAATCTGCCTGCAAGCTCTCCAGCCAGACCGAACCACAAACACTGCACACTGAACTGCACTGCACTGCACTGAGCAGAATTGTTCCGAAAACACAACCTCACTGGGGGAAATGCAGCTACAACCTGATGCAATCAGTGCCAAATCGCAGCCCGTCAGCCGAAGGATGAAAAAAGCTTCCTGCCAGTTTTTTCGGGGCTTCAAGCCGCTGCCTGGGGTGCAGTGCGCATGTCTGTCCAATTTGATTGGAGCGTGGGTTGTCGATTATGTACACGTTTACATGTTGAACGTACATATGTGCATGCATACATATGTATGTATGTATGGGGTGGCGAACTGTTGCTCTCCCACGCGAATTACAGCCAAAGTTCCGCGTACCGCCATCACCTTCGCCACCTGTTACATGGACGCGGACGCTGCGCCGCAGTCGGCAGTCGGCAGTCGGCAGAGAGTGCATTCGTTTCGACAATCATTCCCGATTATCGCTTCGGGAATTATTGAATGTACCCGACCCAACATATGTAATATGTACATATGTACATATGTGAGTAGCTATATACTTATGCCTGCATGGCTATGGTACATAGATGAATCTCCGCTCCGTTCGGCACTGCAGCAGCGCATCAGCAATCTGTTTGACGTCAAGTCGCATTGCTGTCGTTTCTTGTCCAACTGTACCATCCATTTCTGGTCCCGATATGCCCAATACGTGTATATGCCAGTGCCAGCCAGGAGGGGCTGCTGACCAAAAATAGCGAAAAAAGGTGGGCGTGCAAGGGACCTGGGCCGTTGCCATGGTTATGTTATAGGTAAGCTGCCCGGGCCCAGAATGAGCTGCAGCCAAAAGCCACTGCCACACTCTTTGATGCGTGGGGCTTCAGTTTTGCACAAAAGCCGAGATGCAAATTTAAAGCAATAATAGAAAAAATAATCTTTACAGGCAAGCAAAAGGAAGGAAGCAATCAGGATGCAAAAAGGAATACAGAAACAGGCATAGCATGGATCATTTTTAAATTAAATGTAATTTATAAGTTAAACTCGATTTTTATTCACTTGTTTTCATGGTATCGTAGAGTTTATACGCAAAGGAATAGAATATATACAAAATAAATATGAATTTTCATGTAGTTTTCAGCATTTAGCATTTTCTCCGTTCATTGTGCATGATTCGGCTTGAGATTATGTGTAGATTATGAGTGTAACTAGGGCTAAGGAAGGGCTACGAACTAACGGATCCATATCCATGCAGGCGATGGATCGTATTCACGAGCAGTCCAGCGCAGGGACAGGACTACTAAAGCTTAAGCTGGCCACGAGGCTGGCTGGTTGGGGGCTTTCTTCCAGCCTACACTTTGATGATGCCAAAGTAGCTGCGATTGTTTGAGTCCCTCAGCAATACATTGCGATCGCTGTGAATGTCGCGCAAGTGTATCGACTCCTGTTCGCGCAACTGGATCAGGCCGCTGGTGTGGCACGTGTGCACCTTCTGGGGCATGTTCGTGGGCACCGTGTTCAGGCACTGCAGGAAGGCGTTGTGTCCGTGGAACACAATGAACCCGTTTTGATCGTGCGTGTTGTTGTAGCAGATCTGTGCATACACATAGTACAGTCCCGGCTGATGGGCCGTCAGTACTCCGTTGCTGATGCTGAAGTACTCCTGCCAGGCGGTGTCGCTGCCAGCTGTGGCATGTCCAATGTACATGTCACCCTGGTGCGCTACGGAAAAAGCAGAGATTATCATCATCAGAGATCTTTAGAGGTGGCAGGAGTGGCAGGTCTGTGTCTGTCTGGATAACTTACAACTCAGTTGAATGGGGGCATTGTGGTGCGGCACCTTGCGATTTAAATGGAAGTGAGCGGCTGGGGTGCGGGAGCCGGAATCGGTTGTGGATTTGGCTGAAATAAGAGATTCACCTGCAAGTTAACAGAGACGCAAATAGAGTTTTGGTTTTCCTTTTGGAATTAGTTCGCTGCCAATTGATTTTGCGGTTACACACCTTTCCGTACCAGAACCCGCTGCCGTCCGATGCGGGACCGCAGCCTGCGGCGATGATGGTGTTGCTGCTGCACCGAGGAAGAGCTGGAAAAACCTTTGGTTGTGAATGTGAATGTTGACAATCTCTAGATGCTGGACACTCACCGCTCCTTGGCCTCAGTGGAGGCCGCCTTCTCATTCAGCTCCGTTTGGTTGGCTTGGGTTGTCTGCACCTCATTCCGGACATCGGCGTCAGCAATCGAGCGAGACTTCCTCCTGTGGGACATCCGATCAATAAAAATGGTTCAAAATCAAAGTCTTTGCCTCTTTGCGCCTGTTTGCTCACCTATGCTTCTTCTTTTTGGAATCGTTGTAGTTGGTAAAGTCATCGTAGACGTTGTCATCGTTCGAGGCAGAGGAGGCGCTGTTGTTGCCATCCGATTCCGGTTCCTCCACATTAGGCGCTGGCGTGGTCTCATCCGGTTCATCGTACTCGTCATAGAGGCTGCCGTCTCCTTCATCCATTCCATGGTCGATGAAGAAGCCATCCTCCGTATCCTCAGCATCTGCATCTATGTCCTCATCGTCGTCGTCATCGTCGGGGATGCCGTCCAGCTTGTTGGGATATTCAATGAGCGCATTCTCGTACTGCAAAAGGGAGTAGGTCAGCATTTGGGGTCAGCACACTTGGCCAAGTACGATTACGTGACTGCAGCTAGCCCGCGAGTCCTGTTCACGTCTCACATTCATTTGGGGAATTCATTTATGGACGCGTCACGTCGCATGCCCCAAAGCCAAATGCTGTTTCATCATCATCATTCCTAATTGATGGCGCCTCGCGCCTTCCGCAACAACAACGCAAAAAAAAACTCTCTAGAGAATTGCTTGCACAGATGCCCAGCCCCAGCCCAGCACCAGTCCCAATTTCCGCAGACAAAACAAAAAATATAAATAAATCTTAAAACGATCTCCGGCCATTAGGCCATTTGATGAGATCAGATCAATCGTCACTTTTGGCTGCAAGCGCCTAAAACCAACAGCAAACTCTTGCCTTGAACGGATCCATCTACATATTATTATTATATATATTGTATATCTACATACATATATCTGCCACCAGATGTATAGAGAATTATTGCGGCTTTTGCCCCATGTCACTGGGGGGCTTTGCGGGCCATAAATTGTTCTGTGACCGGCTGGCGGCGCTTCATCGTCACCGAATGTATCTCATAGTTAATTGAGTGTTCTTTTTAGTTCTCATTATACATATTATGATAATCTATCACAATTCCCTTGCGGCTTTTTGTTTTTGCATGCGTAAAACATTAATTAAAAGCGGAACAAAACAACAAAATCAATGGAAATTCTTTGAGCATATATATTTTAATTTTAGCAGGCCTTTCTATAAATATGTGTGTGCCACACTATTTCCACATACATATATCCGAGGCATAGTTTTTCGAAAGAGATGAAACAAATGTCGAGTAAACCCACTCGACAAAGTTGTACCCTCTGCGGGCTTTTCTTCTATATAGAATCTATAGCGAATTATCATTTGCTGGCTGAATGTATACTCTTCACGTAAAAAACAACAATATTGCGTGAACACTTTGAGGCGCACAATATTTTTGACTTGGTAATTCGTATTTACCACCGACAAATGTTACGACTTCTCTCTCTCTCTCCATCTCAATCAGCCAGCCATCGCTACTTGAATAACTAAGTTATTCTTGTATGTATATTGACTCACCTCCTTTTGGAAATCGTCAAGCTCATCCAGATATTGTATGCCCAAACGCTGCTGGAGACTGCTGACGACCCGCTTAAGACTCTGCAGCTCCTTGTCCAAATGCGTGACACGCGACGACTGCCAGATCTGGAAGGAACATTTTTATATTATTGGGGACTGGGACGCTACTGATCTAATCCAAAAAACTATTAAACACTTTTCCGTTATCTTTAGCACTCTCGCAATTAATTTAATACGCTTCAATTATGGTCGGTAGACGGTGCTAAGGCCCAACACATCATATAACACCCAACAGCCGAACTTTTGACACCCACAAAAACAAACGAAAAAAAAAAAAACTGAACAAACAGATAGATGGGGCAGAGGATGATCACTGATGGACAGGCAGACAGACAGACAGAGAGAGAGAGAGGAGACAGGGAGAGAGATTTCATAAAGAAACGTCGACGGTACCGACATCGCCACTCAGGCACATAATCTTTTTAATGGATCATTAACATTCGGGGCGAGCAGCAGCAGCAGCCACAGAAGAATACATACGAGTACATTCACATATGTACATATATACTCGAATAAATATATTTCTCATATTTCGACTGCGACACCCGAAATGAAAGAAAAGAATGGCTCAACTTGGAGCCACTGTACACGTTACACAAATAAGGCAGTACAAAAAAATAAAAATGAAAACAAAAATAAAACTTGTGCTGAATTCTTGTATAAATTATGGACAGTACATCGGGCCCAAGAAACTTGTTTCGCTGTCGAGCTTGTGGCTGTCTCGTGGACGGGGGGGGGGGCTGCTGATTCCAGTGAACCACTTTCCATTGGGAGCTTATCTATAGATCGATTGTAGCGCCTGCAGTTTGTCACTTTCACGGGGCCCTGATGAGGGTCAGTCGCCGGTCGCTTGTCAGGATGTGGGAAGGGGGAGGGCACAAAATTCAATTGGAAAATCTTAACAAAGATTTATGGAGAAAACAATGGTTTGTGGCTCACGTCAAACCGAAGCCAAGGCAAGTCCAATCGTTTTTACAAGTCAATTGACAATTGTACGATTTCCGTTCACTTAAGCCAAAAGTTGAGGTTGATTGTGTCCAGGAGTAGTCCGGGGGGCACCACGTACATACACGACTAAAAACTGCAGCGTGTACAGACCAGAGTTGTATAACATAGCATTGCAATTATTGTTGTTCAGTTTTGTAGAACAGTTCCGCAACTAGCTATCAGCAAAAAAAAAAAAAAGAAGAAAACATGACCCTACCATCCCTACTGGGAAGCTCAAGTCACGACAGAGATTCATTTTATCGAGAGAAAAACAAGCTGGAAATGCAGAACAGAGGCAGAATCATCCCCCAACTAAATGGCTACAACAATAGCAAACAAAAAGTATCTGATACGAGTACATGTGTATCTGCATCCGCTGCTGTCTTGCGGCTTGTTTGGATTAGCTGGATCATTAGGAAGCGATTTTGCCCAAAAGACTTGTTGGTGACGACATGCCACGGATCAGACAACGCCATCGAAGCACCTAAATATAGTCGGGTGCCAAATTATATAGAGCCATATCTCTGACGATCACGCATTATAAAGTCTGCTATTACGAGTATTTTGAATATTCATTTGGCATAAACAAATACCTAATGGCAAACATCTTTAGAGGCAGAAGCGTGCCAGAGGTTAAATATTCATTTTAAGATTACGAATTTGGGTTCGGGGGGGAGTCTATATAAATATATATGGTATGTCAAGGTCCAATTTGCATATACACATATATTTATTTTGTATTAGATACTGAAACAATATTTCTCTAGGCTTGAGTGGGAATGTGGCATCCGGTTTAAAGTGGTTCAATGCGGTATCTCGGAAAATGTTGGGTTCTCCCTTCAAATTAATAATCAAGTGGTTCCAAATGGCACTAGAACGTAATGGAAACAATTATGATACGCAAACTAATCAATTTGGAGTACAAATGAATTGCAAAATGCTCATATCAATGGGGAATTCTCACTGATTACGTACGGATGGCTCACACCAGTGCACATCCAACCAATCTTCGATCAAATCGAACACTTACCGTTAAGCTGAGGATGGCTACGACCAGGGCCAGACCGACAACACTTAAGACAATTGGGATGAGCTGTCGCGTCTTGCGCTGGGCTTTCGCTGCGCTCGATTGCTTGTCCGGAAAACTGCCGGCGGCACTCGTTGGTGTTATAAACGGTTTGAGTGTCTCAGCTGTCATAATGTATACGATACGCTGCTACGCACAGTTAATCAAGCGGAAGAGTAACGTAACTAGAGCCAGGCTGGGGAAGACTCTGTACTCGGATGGAGTCTGACTTAAACGATCTGATCTCTATGTCGCGCTCTTGGATCTAAGCGACTGTCTGTCTAGTCCACTCGACTCTAGCTGTATTAGCTAGAGCTTTGGACTCACTCGCACTCACAGAACACAGCGCACTACCGGAACGAACACCCTCACAGAGCGCTCTCGAGGCGACGCGAGATAAGCTTTGACATCAAGATAAACCACTTGGGATGGGATGCGGTGCGATGTGCCCTTAGAAACTTTTCCCTACAAGCGTGCTAGTACATATGTATGTATGTATGATGTATACTTGTTTATTTTCTTTGTTTGTTGTTGTTTGCTGCTGCCTTTTTCCTTCTTTACATACAAATTGATCGGCAATTTGCACAAGAGCTTCTCGAAACAAGTTTTGCCCTGTCCAGGCACTAGAGATAATGTGCTCTGTTCTGTTCTTTCCACTTCCTCGTATGGTATGTACGTTTATCAGTTCTCGTCTGATAAAAGAACAGAGACAAATTAAATTCTGATTTAAGCAGATTGCACTTATTTTTAGCGGGTCACAACACGGCACAGAGAGTTATGGCCCACAACAAAAGTTTTGGTAAACTAACGCGAAAAACGGTTCACTCTTATCCCAGACCAGGCGAGACACTCACGCACGCACGCGCTCTTTCCGTTATGTTTACCGGTTGACGCGACTGTTTCTGTCGACGAGTCGAATGAATCTGAAATCTGAACGATGCGGGCAAAGGCAAGACACAGACATGATCGCTTCTGTCTGAGCATGCAAGAAAAGAGGGAGACAGTCGTCGCTCTCTCTCTCTCTCTCAGTCTCTTGCCTGCGCTATTTCGTTCTCTGTGCCTGGGTGGGTGAGGATGGATGTGATGCTTACTTAGGGGCGCATGCGCCATTTACTTACACGAAATTAATTATTTTGGCAAGCATCGCACCGGGGGGTTGCAATATTCCATATGGCTGGCGATCGATAGCACAGCCCACAGCCAACAGCCCACAGCCCACAGCACAAAAGCCTCTTTGACTTTTGCGCAGTTTTTTGTTCCCTCTGCTGTTTATTGTTGTCTGTGTTTACTCAAACCTCCCCCTAGGTTGTTTTTTGGCGTTTAATGGGGGTTGCTAAAGTTTAGATGCACCACTCCAAGTGGCCACACATCCCCTGGGAACATGTGTGGAATGTCTCTCTCTCTCTCTGGTGACATTTTCGGAACGCAATTAATTGGATTTTGAAGCAGGGATCGAGCCCCAGAAACCGATAAGCTGAATGAACTTTTAGCATTTCATTAAAATCAAATTTATTATTACCTAGAAGCAATCCGGCATCGGCTTATCAGCTAACCTAAGGCGACCCATAACGGTGACCAGATTGACGAAATATTCCCCAATGCGGATTCCAATTATAGCCGGGGAAACCATAAAACTAATGCTGATCTGCAACTGCCACCGTCTCGACAATCTGTCTGTCCCACTGCCAAGCTGGCCGTATCATAAATCTCTCTCTCTCTCTTTTTCCGCAGTGATTGTGCATACAGATGCAAATGCCATCCGTCGCTTGCCAGCTAATTAGTTTTGAATCGATGGCGACGACAGGTAGCGACAGGTCTTAGGTAGGATAGGATAATGTGCCACCGCGATATGACGGGGCCGGGCTGGTCAACACGCTTCCGGTCGTCCGGCTCGGCTCTCTACTGCCAGATCTGATGCACCAAGAGGCACCACTTAAGCCCGAGACTCGAGTCCAGACAAGAGTCGAGATCTGAGAACCGAGAACCGAGATCTCAAGGCGCACTTTTCAAAGTCAATGTCGGGTAATTGACGTTGCATATGTATGGCTCGTATATCGTACAACAGTATATTTCATTCGTTTCATTTAATTGCTTCATCTCTCCCACTCCCTCCACTCAGCAAAAGCATTTTACAATTTTCTTGGGGCATACATATATGAAGTAGATTCTTTATTTGCAGACATTTATAACGCGAAATTTATGAGACTCCAGCGATGCTTGAAATGAATTTCTTTTTAGCTTTATCTCTTCCTTGTCTTGTCTGTTTCTCAGATCGATTTAATTGGAAGTCACCCGCAAAACTCATTCAATCGTACATACCATACATATGTAGGTACATATCTCTATCGCTGTTTGGCGTAATGAAAATTCGTCCCGATCATTAATATATGACAAGCTTATAGTGTATGTATGTATGTATGTATTTATATCTGTTTCAATGCCAGAAATGCCAAGTGGCGCTCGTACGAACGTTTCAAGATAATGGCATTCATTTATCAAACGATGTACAATTGGAAACAATAGAAAAGCTTATCAAAAGCAACTGATAAGTGATTGTATTAGCAGACAAATGGGGAAAAGGAAAAACATATGAACACATATCAAAGATTGTGGCTTCCATTATATCAAAAATCAATTAATTTTGCACTTGGCACACATTTCAATAAAAAACGTTTCTTTTTTAAATTCAAAAACAGAACGTAGCGCGCGTCTTTAAAACGTAGACAACTCTGGCCGATATCGATAGACCATCAAGAATCGAGTACTTTGCAAAACGATACCAAGTATAAATAGCAGTGCGCAAATTCAAAGTATTACGGAATTATTAAATGAGGCAGTTTATTCAAACGTATATCCAGCTTGATCGACTTGTTCCCCAAGCCGATTTGAATTAGGAATATGACAATGGCCATCAGCACCCCGATAAACTGTCAGGGAACGGAAGAGAAAAGAAATATCCTTTAATTGTTTCAACTAAAGGGTTAATTGGTTCTGGTTGCTTACCCCACCCATTGCCAGCGTGTCCAAATCGATGACGCCGCACGCGAGCAAGGGTTGGCCGATGCTCGTCTGGAGCTGCACCAGGAAACGATTAATGGTGCGCTCGAGATGGCTGCCACACACCTCCAGCTGGTTAAGCTGAAGGCAAAAGTGGCATTCCTGCTCCACCAGCTGCTCGTTGACGGCCAGGATGACCCAGATGCGTGAGCCGTGCATGACCAGCCACAGTATGCGGTAGAAGAGCAACAGACCCGCGGCCCATTGCGGCCGCTCAAAGAAATTGAAGACCAAGTAGAACTCCTCGCAGAAGCTGCACAGAGAGTTGCCAAAGTTGAGCAGCAGGAAGAGGCCAAACTTGTCCAGCAGCTGCCTGTGCAGACGATCGATGGCAGTGTACGTTGAGCGCAGCTCATCCAGCACCAGAGTAGTGCATCCGCCAGCATCCACCAGTGAAGCAAAGAACAGATCATAGCGCGCGTCCAGCCTCACGATACCTTGGGGTGGTGGCCTTTGGCGTACTTGCAGCTCCGCCAGACGGTGGCAAAGATGTGCCTGCAGCAGCCAGAGAAAGTGCACGGCGAGGGCGTATTGCAGCACACCGAGGCTGATCATCAGAGCGGGCAAATTGTATACACTATTGCTGATCCACGTAGTCCACCAGTTGAAGTCGTAATTGACAATGTCCACCACAACGCAGGCGCCATGGAATACGATGGTTTGCACCAGCAGGAGACGAGTCCTCTTTTCGTGCTTTCGGTAAAGTCTACGCGCTACTCCCACATCCTGCTCGCCGATGAGCCGATGAATCTGCGTCTCCACGTCCCTGGAGTACGGACAATTAAGTACAGCGTGGAACACCAGGAGGCCAGTGATTGTAATGTTGCCTGGGAACTCCATCAGATAGAGCAGCTTCTCGATGGTCGGCAATTCGGCGTCAAACACAATGCACTTCCAGATGCAGCCAGTCCACACGTAGCTCAGCAGAAGCACGCACCAAAGACAGTGAATCCATCGAGCGAATCCCCTGCTTGCAGTGGGTGCCACGGCCAGGCAGCGGCTGATGGTCAGCAGGTGATTTCCCCAGCGATTGCTAATTGAACTGCTCATCTGCACGGCCCTTTAGTTAATGATTTAAACGAAGCTGAAGAAACATAATTTGGCTCAATTGATTAATGTTCCTGTGACAGGTCAAAGCAGTTCGAGGTGAAGTCTCCTCAATGTGATTAGCATTCGATATGTGGAAGCCGAAGAAAGTGCCACGAAAGCGTCTAAAGGCGGTGCAAAGGATGCCGAACGGGTAAAGAGAAGATTCATAAATTGGAACTCACATGAAATGATGTTCCCTACCATTGCAGTCATCCAACGTTTCATCAGGAATTTGAGGTGAAATCCAAACGTCTCTACAAAGGCTTGAATTGGCTATTCTGGATCTCAGTTCTGGCCAACACCGCGCCCATTACTGTCCTGCCTGGTCGCCAGGGCAGAGTCTACCGCCATCTGCATCTCTGTTGGATGGCCGTTTGCTACGGCTGGTACTGCCTAGCCTCCTATTGGGAGTTTGTGCTCATCACCCTTAACAGGGTGTCCCTCGATTGCTATTTGAATGCCATGGAATCGGGCATTTACATGGTGCACAGTGCCTCAATCTTGATCCTCACATTCCAATGGAGACACAGGATACCCGCCGTAATTGCTAGCATAGTAAAGTCGGATCTGGAGCGGGGATATACGATTAAATGCTGGCAGATCAAGCGCTTTTTGCGGCTGCAGCTCTCGCTGGTCTTGGTGTTGGTCTGCTTAGCCTTTGCCATCGATATTTTTAGCCAGAGATTTGTTGCCTACAAGGCTGTACTCAGCATCAACAGCTATGTGATGCCCAACATCATCAGCAGCATCTCCTTTATCCAGTACTATGTCCTGCTGCAGGGCATAGCTTGGCGCCAGGCCGCAGTCACCGAATCCCTGCAACAGGAGCTCCAACACTTGCCAAGACCACGACGGTGGGAGGTACAAAGATTTCGCTTGCAGCATGCTGAGCTGACCTACTTCACGAAGCTGGTTAATAAGGCATTCCAATATTCCATTGTCCTGCTGGTGGTTGGCTGCTTCTTCAGCTTCAACCTGATTCTGTTCCTTGTGTACAAGGGCATTGACGTTCCGGAGCTGGCAGATTGGAACAGGTGGATCTACATGGTGCTGTGGATGGCCATGCATATAGGCAAGATGCACAGCCTTCTCTACTTCAACCACAAAGTGCAGCAGGAGGTAAGTAGCCTAGAATCGTAATTCCCATTTATAATTGCTTTTCCTTTCAGCAATCCAAATGCTTGGCCCTGTTGAATGGTGTGCAATCTGTGGGACCCGACCTTCAGGAGACCTTTCACCACTTTATCCTCCAATTGCAAACAAATGTACGCCAGCATGTTGTCTGCGGCGTCATTGTCCTGGATCTCAAATACCTTTCGACTGTGAGATTATATCTGAATCAGTGAAAACGTTTACTTTAAATTCTAAATTACAGCTGCTGGTGGCCACTACAAACTTTTTTATATTTCTTCTTCAGTACGATGTCACCTACGAGGCCCTGTCCAGGCAAGGCAATTTTACAAAATCGTAGAAAGAATTGTGCGACTTTTCGAAATTGCGTTGTAAGTTTATTTACGGTATATCGGCATATAATGGTACAATCTATTTAATCTATTAATTAAAGTAAATAGGGTCTACAAATGTCCATACTCATAGCAGAAAACTGGTTGAACAGCAACTTATGGTTTCTGCCTTGACTTGTTTTGTGCTTAAACCCTATTTTGTAAACAATCCAATAAAAAGTGGTCCTTCAAATGAACCAATTTCGTAGTAAATTGTTTATTCTGTTGGATAATGTTATATTTTTAGTGCTGAGTATCCCAGCTAGCTAGCAATATTAAGCCGAATATTAAAATCGAGGAAGATTAATAGAATAGAACGTTAACCCATTGTTCAGGGGTATTTAATATTCCCACAAAATGTATGAAACTTTAATCATTTTAGCGTTGTTCAGGTGAAAGATATCGGGGTCATTTTTTATTAACTTAGGGTAAGGGAAGGAATGGAGCTACAAGGAACATATACAAATAGCATTATTTTCCGCGGTTTTACACAAGTTATTTCCACTGTTAAAATAAAGCGGGGCTATGGGGGTTAAGTTAGTTTTCTACACGGTCACACTGGTTTTGTTGTATGTTTTGCACGCCAATTAATTTTTATTAAAATTTATTACCATGTGCGACGTTGCAAGAGTGCAAAAGATTGCCCATTGCCTTGGCGTGTCCCCCGGCAAGGTGCAGCTGAACGAGGAGCAGGTAAACACTTTATTTAGAGCACAATAGTTGGGGCAGCCATCAATTTATTTTCTATTGTGAAGGTCGTAACGCGCACAAATGGCCAGAAGAAGAGCGTGGCGGGATTCGCCACAATTCTGGAGAATCTGGCCAACGAATCCAAGTCGGAGACGGCCCAAAACAGCAAGGCCTCGCGGGAGGTGGAGGCCCAGGTGTATCAGTGGATAGAGTTCTCTGTGCTCTACGTGGCGCCTGGCTCCAAAGATAGGAATGTGGCCAAGCAGTTGCTCGCGGACTTGAATAAGCTGTTTGCCAGCAAATCATATCTCGTGGGCCACTTCATCACACTGGCCGACCTGGCTGTCTACTATGCCATCTATGACCTTGTGGTGGGTATTTCTTGGGCTTTTTGTTGCATGCCTTCACTTTACATTTCTGATATCTTGCAGAAATCGCTGTCGCCCGTGGACAAGGAATCCTATCTAAATCTGTCCAGGTGGTTCGACCATCTGCAGAACCGTTCAGACATCCATCAGGGCGAGCCTCTGCTCAACTTCACCACCATCTACCTACATGGCTGGGCCACGGGAACACACATCTAGGCATCTAAGTTGCAGCAGCCAAGTCGCACTCGAGTCACAATTGAGAAACTTAAGTTATTTATTTCTATTGCATTTCACAATGTAGTTCTGTGTGTGATTATCATTTAATGCCAATGAGAGTTCAGCGTTGGAATATAAAATATCGTTATTGTAGCCCATTACAAAAAGGTTTAATGATAATCGATGATCTCAGCTATAGCTCGTATCCCTCCTTTGCATCGTCTGCGCCGGCGGCGGCGCCGTATAGCAGCGACTGGCAATTCTCCAACATCAGTTTGCAGGCACCTCGCGTGGCGAGCTCATGGAGTTGTTCAGCTCATTGGGCTCTGTGCACTTCCACAAGCCGTATGTCTTGCCCACCGTGGTCTGCCACAGTCTCAAGGTGCCGTCTTCGGATCCACTTGCATACAGCTCGCCATCGGGGCTGAACTTGACCGCATGCACTGGTCCAAAGTGACCTTTGAATGATTCTGCGAAAGAATGGAAAGATTAGTAAGCGTGCTAACTGCAAAAAGATGGACTGTGGCATCAGCATACCTATTTCGTTGCCTGTAATGTAGTCGAATTTGTACATCTTAAAGTCCTCGCCGCCGCAGACAAAGACGTGCTTGTCCGGATGCAAACTGGCCGATGCGACATTCGTCGGCACTTTCACCTCCTTGAGCTTCTTGAGAGTGTCCACCTCCCAGAAGCTGATCGACGAGCCGTGGGCAATGGTCAGTATGTGGTTGTCGCGCGAGATCTCCAGGCTGTTGGGATGGCTGTTGAACTGCAGGCGTTGCACCTCAATGCCCGTCATGCGATCCCACAGGCGGACGGTCTTGTCCTCGGCCGCCGAGACGATGCACTTGTCGTCGCGGCAGAAGAGTGCCCGCTTGATGGCCCCAGCGTGTCCACTGTACTCCTCCGGCTTCGCCTCCGGTTGCTCCAGGTTAAAGACTCGCACCAGCTTCTCGTTGCTGCCCGTCACAATGTTCTCCGAATCGGCGTCAAAGGCCACACTCTTCACGATATGCTTGTGCTGGAAACTGTGGATCTCGGCTCCGCTCACCGCATTCCACACCTTGCCGGTGAAGTCGGCCGCTCCCGAGGCAGCCAGCGTTGCATTTCGATTGAGTGTGGCATTCCACACGGCGCCCTTGTGCCCCTCAAAGGTGCCCACCCAGTCGCCGGTGTCGCCGTGACGCAGCATCGGGCTGCCATCTGCAAGAAACGTCCAGAATTCTCAATTGCATTCGCGCCAAAACATGTACATAAAAATTGATAAATAAATCGTGTGAACGGCGGAAGCCACCTTGACTCAATGACTACCATCAATGCCAACGACCTGACACGGCGACGGCAATCGAAACGGAATCGGAATCATGCAAGCCAGCAGCAGCAGCCAGCCGGCCAGCTCCCAAGATCACATCGTTCTCGATGCACCGGACCGCCGCCGCCTGCAGTTTTCAGGCAGGGACACACGGCTCGTTAGTTCAATTAAAGCAACATTTCATTTTAGAATGTAAACGGTTATCAATTAATTGTATATTTAATGATGTTGGAAATGGTTGCGTGGGGTATATAGGATTTGGGGAGAAGTATGCGCTAATGGTACATAAATTTCATCAGGAAATGAGTCTCCCTACAAGAATATTCCCATATCTTATAACGCAAACTGAAAGGAAATGGATCTATCGTTTCCCGTTTTATAGGGTATACAGCATTCCACATATTTCGGAGACAAGTCTCTCGACAGCGCACACAATGTAAATATAGAAGTTTCAAGGTGCTTCCTGTACGCACAAAACGGGCAAAGTTTTTGAAAAGTTGTTAAACAAGCGGGGAAGCCTGTACGTTAAATGGCGATAAAGCGAAAAAAAATTAACTTGAACTTGGAATGGAAATGATTTGCCTTTTTCCGCATAAATGCAACTTTTTATCGAAAGCACTCACGCACACAAACAACAACACAATAACACCGACAGGACAGGACAGACAGGCAGAGAGACATCTCAAGGCAAAGAATGCAAAATATATTGCATGCGAGATGGTGTGGGAAAAGGGTTCGCAGAAAACTGGTTTCGCTCATTAAGTGATTCAACATTTGGGTCAAGGTTTCAGCCAGGCTAGACAGAGCTCAATCAGGTCTAAGCACCATACGCACATATGTTTGTTAATGTTAATTTGCTGATGCTGCATCTTTCGTCGATAGCAGGCTATAAATAACACAAGGACGGTTTATCGCATGGGAACTTTTGTATGTGCCGCCGCATCGTTTACCTTTGCAAGCGGAGATGAGAAAGTATCCGCTGTCGCAGATGCCGCTGAAGTCCAAATGCACCACTGGACGCGTGTGTCCGCTGCAGGTCAGCGGGATTTGTCGCAAGTTATTGGCAGCCATTTGTTAATTAAATTGCGTTCCGTTTCGTTGTAATACTCTTCGTTTTACTTTCTAACACTTGGAAGGGGCGTAAGTGCCAAGTGAAGTGGGTTTATTGTCTAATGAGAATTGTTAAAAAACTTGGCTATTCGCGTATATATTTAATGGCCTTTTGTACATCGGGTTGCTGCTAATTTAATATTTTTCACTGTCTTCTCATGCCTTTCGATTCACTTTGCAATATGCATGTCCTTGGCGGCTGCTCAGCGCTGGCTGATGTTGCTCGTGCGGTGTCGCGTCACTAACGGAAGCTTTGCACTTTTGCTTTAGAAAAAAGTTAACAACGTATTTACAATTTTATATCAACAATAGTGGAAATTACGCGACAGTAGAGGTGTCAAACCATCGAGGGCACTATCGATAGTATCGATATTTTACTGCTAGCCTCTACTATCGACGGTTTTGCGACTATCATGATAGTATCGAGCTACAGTCGTTGCGCTTTTGATATGTTTGGATTGGCTTCTATAAAATACGAAGACACATTTGTAAACAAATCGACAGGTGGCATCTAATTTTTACAATGGACAAGTTCCTAAAAGGTTTCAATGGTTTTTTTTTAATTATTTGAGCCCGATATTGTGGCGTTGCCAGACTCGTGCAATTCGTAGTTGCTGTGGGCTGCCATACCATGATATTTTGTAATATGAAATTCGTCAATTTTGATATTCAGTTTAATATTAGTAGTTAGTTGGCACTTTCAGCGCTAAAAAAATAATTTTATCCGATTCCTCAATGAATTTGTGTTCAGGATTGGCTAGTTTTCCGAACTATTTTTTATTGGATTCTTTACATAAAAAGGTTCAAACAAAAACCGGCCAAATCATAAAACGGAAATGTTGACTAAATGTGACGTCAATGTTGCTGGTCAACCAAGTATCTCTATGCTTATGTACTTTTGTATACCTTATTTCTTTAAATTTTTGTTAAATTTTTTTTTCCAAGCTCCATTGTAACATTATTTATGATTTTGTCCTAGATTGACATGTTTTACCTATTAACGCACATGTTTGTGTTTTTTATATAAACATATATCTCGGTTCTGATACCTATTATTGGAACCTGTGAGCTGCAGAACTTTTTTAATATCTTTAGAAAAGAGACTGAGTAGTTTCTGCATTAATTGGAGCCTATCTTCCATAACACCCATTTTTCCAAGGTATTCAGATTGTTGATCATTTCGTGCCAAAGTTGCACAACAATGCTGCCTCTTCATTTCCCCATGTTGCTGAATTTTTTCCCATACAAATCGAATGTATCTTACGGGAACGCGTATGGAATGACGCAACAATGAATCTTCATTCCATACGTGTTCCCGTAAGATACATGTTTCTCACACCACGAAAATGAGCAAATTTTGAAAACCCACCACGATTTGAGAGCGAAAATTGTCAGTATTTTTTGTGCGCTAAATGGAGTTTGGCGGTCATTTTGAAAAGTATACAAATATATGGAAAAATAAATATTTCACTTGATTTGTTTTGTCGAGTGTGACTTGAACCTCAGAAACGTCATTTTCAAAACATAACATAAGGCGAAATCATATCTAACATGCAAAAAAAACTCGTCAAAAATGAAAAAGACTCATTTTTGCGCTGCATGAACAAAATATCGATATTGGGAACGATATAGTTGGCGGAATCAGTGACATCGATATCAGTCGTATGTAGTCACTTGTCATCTCTATTTAAACGTCAAAATAGCAAAATTTTCATTCGAGAAATTGGGAATCGCTAGAATATGTCTGCTATTCTAAACCACGCAATTCGTCGCCAGCTCGGCGCTACTGCGGCCCGGAACATGTCTGGCACTGCTGCCGTGGCCGGCGAGCACTCCGGTAAATATCCTGCCATTGTCCCAAACGCCAAATTCTGCAATGTTTGTGGGGTTAAGGTTATGTAATTTGGCTGTTAGGCAAGACTATCGATTATGGCTCTCCTTTAACATATCCCGACTCCTTTCAGGTGGCTACAAGGTCTGGAAGCGCCTCTCCTTCTTCGTGGCCGTCCCAGCCGTTGGCCTGTGCATGCTGAATGCCTATCTGAAGCACCAGGAGGAGCACGACAAGCCCCGCCAGGAGTTCGTCAAGTACGACTACTTGCGTCGTCGCGAGAAGCGTTTCCCCTGGGGCGAGGGCAACAAGAGCCTGTTCCACAACCCCCATGTCAACCCCCTGCCCGATGGCTATGAGCACTAAGTGGACAACCGCTTAGTCGCATTTCCGTCGCGGGTGAAGGATGGGATGGAGTTTTCTTTGGGTTATTGCTGGCCTGGCGCATACACAACACATTCGGAATGCTGTGGGGAGAGACTTGTATTTAATGTTAATCTAAACTGAACTCAAGGCGGAAATACACACATACACACACACAAACTTACAAACATGCTACCAATACAGACACTGCTGTTGGATCCCTGATTGAATAAAGACGGCAACACTCCCTCCAGGACAAAGACGATTCGGATCGGGAGATAACAAAAAAAAAAATATCTCGTTTAATCAGTACGTTATGTCTAAGGCATATATCTATTGATTAATTTACAATTATTGCTTGGAATTTGTCGATGAATCCCCGTTTTTGATCAGCGAACGTCCCTTTTTGGGCGGAGCTGCAGGACTCTTCCGCGTCACAGCTGCCTGTTGTCTGGTTTTCTGCGAACTCTCGGGTTGGGCCAGATCTGCAGTCCGTGTCTGCCGTGTACGCTTGGTGAACACCAGAGGTTGAGTGGCCGCCTTTGGAGCATCCACTTTACGTTTCTTCACTGGGGGCGGCGGCGATGATGGCTGTTCATCGCGTAGCAGTTCCTGCAGCAAGAATTTCTGCTCTGCCTCGTCGAGATCAGCGGAATTTACTTTGAACTCTGCCTCGGCATCACTCTCGTTGGAAACCCTGTCCCCATCATTCTGATACATGTCCATGTCCAGCACATGCTCATCCTCAATGTGTTTCTGCAGGCGGTCTGAGCTGAGGAAGATCAAGTCGCAGAATTCGCACGCAAATCTCTCGCCCTCTTTGTGCGTGGTCATGTGCCCCTCCACCGCAGCGATGTCGCTGATCTTTTCGTTGCACAGCGGACACTTTAGGGACATGTTCGCGTGGAGGACCGAGTGCTCGATGAGACTGTCGTAGCTCTGGTGCGACTCCTTGCAGATGCTGCAGACGAACGAGGCACCCGAGTCCTGCTTGTGCATGCGCAGGTGCCTGGACAAATGGTGGGAGAGAATGTACGATTTGGAGCAGTACTTGCAGGGGTAGGCTCGCTTTCCCGCATGGGCCACCAGGTGACGGGCTAGCTTGCTCGAAGTGACAAAGCTCCTGGGGCAGTGCTCGCAGGGGAAGGGCAGATTCACGCTGTGGACAACCTGGCAGGGGAAACAGAAATGGCAGAAATGCTATAGTTCAAGTGGCTCGCACCTCCCAGTCTATGGCTGGCTACTCACCTCGTGCCGCTCCAGGCCCTGCTTGAAGGCGAATGCCTTGCTGCACATGGTGCATCGGAAGGGGCGCGACTTTGTGTGGCGCTCGGCATGCTTCGTCATGTCCTCACGCGACAGGAACGGCTTCTCGCAGTGCACGCAAATGAATTTGGGCAGGTCCGTGTGCGAGCTCTCGTGCCGATGGAGCAGGGCTCGCCGTGTGAAGGCCTTGTCACAGACGCTGCAAGCGAAGGGCTTCTCGCCCGTGTGGATGAATCTGTGCTTCTGCAGATCGTACTTGGAGAAGAAGCCCTTGCTGCAGTCGCTGCACTGGAAGCTGCGGGCGCGTGTATGGTTCAGCCGATGGATTTCGAGCAGCTGCAAAAGGGGAAAGGATCGCTCGCAGTCGGGACAGGGAAAGACATTGGTCACCACGAGGGCGGCGTCCTTGGTGGCATCCTCACTGGGGGGCACCGTATTTGGGCCTATAATTTCGGTGACAATTGCCACATTGCCGTCCCGTCCACGCTTGATCTGGGTCGTGGCCAGTTGAGGCTCCACTGCCACTGCAGCGCCCTTATTCAATATCCGAACGGAGGGCTTGTTCAGAACCTTCGGCTTCATGGGCAATTTCGTCTGAACTGGTGGCGATGGAGCTGCAACTGGTTCTGGCTCCGCCGATATTTCTTCGTCCAGCTCGTTGGCCATATCCTCCATCATGTTCTGGACATCGTCCATGGACAGCTCCTGGTTGTTCTCCACCTTCATCTGATAGGACTTGGAACGGGTAGGTGCTGCTGCTGGTGCTGCGGCCAGCTTTTTCGCCAACAGGCTGGTCTCCAAGACCTGCACATCTTCAATGATCACCGTCTTCGAATTGGCCAGGATGTTAAGCAATTTCCTGGGCTGTCCGTCGCTGGCCTTGGCATCCTTCTTGGCGCCGGCAGGAGTCTGAATCTGAGTCTGAGTCTTTGTCGGAGGACGTGGTTTTTCCAGCGGTGCTGGCAGAGTTCCTGTCAGCGGAAACTGCCGAAGCGCCGTCTCAGCTCGCTTGCACATCTGCATAAAGCGGTAGCTGTGTTCGAACAGCAAGTGGCAGTCGAGGCAAATGTAGCTGGGCATTTTATCATCGGCGCTCACCTATAACAAAATAAACAGAATGGAGTTCAAGGTATACTAAAGGTATATAACGGTATATTTTACTCAATTTCAATAATCTATTAAATATATTAATATATAGTAAAGAACATAGTCTTTTTTCAAAATACCCGCCAAATCGTTCAAACTACTGATTGTACTCGATTGCTGAAATACTGCCCTGAAAATAGTCTTGCCATACTCGATTCGGAAATACCAAAATACGCACTAGCTGGTATTTTTGAGGGTTTTCTCAAGATTTGAGAGCTGACTTTGCCGGCAAGTGCATACACCTACACACACACAAAAAAAAACACAAACACAAACTCGAGATTCATGGTGGGTTTTCAAAATTTGCTCTCTTTTCAGAGGTGAAGAGAGCGCTTTTCGTGGTGACTTCCCCTCATTTTCGTGGTGTGAGAAACATGTATCTTACGGGAACATTCCCGTAAGATACATTTGATTTGTATGGGAAAAAATTCAGCAACATGGGGCAGCATTGTTGTGCAACTTTGGCACGGGATGATCAACAATCTGCATACCTTTGGAAAATGGATATTATGTACTTGAGATATTGTTTGTAAATTCAGGCTCCAATTAATGCAGAAACTACTCAGTCTCTTTTCTAAAGATATTAACAAAGTTTTGCAGCTCACGGGTTCCAATAATAGGTATCAGAACCGGGATAAATGTATATATAAAAACACAAACATGTGCATTAATAGGTAAAAAACATGTCAATCTAGGACAAAATCATAAATAATGTTTCAATGCAGCTTGGGAAAACAAATTTAACATCAATTCAAGGAAATACGGTATACAAAAGTCCATACGCATAGAAGATACTTGGCTGACCAGCAACATTGTCGTCACATTTAGTCAACGCAGCAACTACAAATTGCACGAGTCTGGCAACGCCACAAAATGACGTCACATTCGTTTTATGTTGTTTTTGTTTGAACCTTAATATGTAAATAATCCAATAAAAAGGACTTCTGAAAACTTGCCAATCTTGTAGAAAATTTATGTATCTATCGGATAAAATTATTTGTTTAGGGCTGAGAGTCCCAGCTAGCTAGTAATATTTAACGGAATAGCAAAATCGAGGAATATCAACGTTGAATGTTTTGAAAAAACAATCGATACTATCGTGATAGTATCGGGCTCAAATAATTATTAAAAAACCATTGAAACCTTTTAGGAACTTGTCCATTGTAAAAATTAGATGCAACCTGTCGATTTGTTTACAAATGTGTCTTCGTATTTTATAGAAGCCAATCCAAAAATATCAAAAGCGCAACGATTGTAGCTCGATACTATCATGATAGTCGCAAAACCGTCGATAGTAGAGACTAGCAGTATGGTTTGACACCGGGCACGCTTAACCTCCGTTAATTAATTGTTTAAACGCGGCTAGGCCATAAAAGGATGTTTGACTATTTCCCATTACTAATTCAATTGTTGGTGCATCAAAGAAATAAAACAAGCGACAAAACAACTGTTGATTTCGCGATAGTGGCCTTTAACTAAGTAAACAATATCAAAGAACCTGACTGACGGGCCCCTTTCTCTTGGGTACGGTACGGAAAAAAGGGCGCAACAATTGAAGGCGAAGGCAGGCAGACGAGGACGGACGCTGCGAACAAAAGGCAAGGCAGGCAGACGGCAACAAGGAGAACGGAACACACAAACAATTGATTGCAGTATCAGTATAAGACTCCCCAGCAGAAGCATATCAGAAGCAAAATGACGGACGAGTGCATAACTAGGAACTTTATTGCTCTCGGTTCCAATGGAACCGGCGGCAATCGCAGCAGCATGGGCGATAGTACAGATGCCAAAGGCTGTGAGGGTAACGCTGGAATTGGTGGTGCAACTGCTGCAGCGAGGTAAGGTCCATGTGCATGTGCATTGTGTGTGCTCTCTTTCTATCTCTCTCTGTTTTTCTCTTGCTGTTACTCTCTTCCGTCGTTCCCTTTACATGAGTATGCATGTTATTTGTGTACACGCGTCTGTGTGCTCCTTTTATACCCTTACGGAGGATATTATGATTGTGACTAGATGTATGCCACGTAGAGGAGAAGGAAGAATTTCCGTAAATCCCCAAGGCTTTCTGTTGCCTTTCTTTTTGATTGCCAAGTCATCTTACAAATAATTCTTTGACCAAATTGTCTGTTAAATCCCCCAATTAAGTAAATGGCCTGAATTAATCATTTCTAATTTCGGACACTGATTTTATCTAATCTTATCGCTGATATGATGGACTATCGAATGGTTGATTGAAATTCTGGATCTTATCCGCAGTATTCCTACCCCCCCGACCAACAAGTATGTAGCCCGAATGCCCGTGGAGCGCTATGCGAGTGAGTACAACATGAATCACAAGCACCGCGGCAAGGCCTTTATATTCAATCATGAGTTCTTCGAGATACCCACGCTGAGGCCGCGCATGGGCACCAATGTGGACGCGGAGGAGCTGCGCAAGACATTCAAGAGATTGGGTTTCGATGTGTCGGTGCACAAGGACTGCAAGTGGCAGAACATACGCGAAAGCATTGAGAAGGCCGCCGCACTGGATCACACGGACAACGACTGCCTGGCCATTGCCATCTTGTCGCACGGCGAGCATGGCTGCATTTATGCCAACGATGTCCAGTACAAGCTGGACCAGATTTGGCACTACTTCACTGCCCAGATGTGCCCCACGCTGGCCGGCAAGCCGAAGCTGTTCTTCATCCAGGCCTGCCAGGGCGATCGCCTGGACGGGGGCGTGATGCTCGAGAAGAGCGTGACTGAAACGGATGGGGACTCGTCCATGGGCTACAAAATACCCGTCCATGCTGACTTCCTCTTCTCATACTCAACAATACCCGGTAGGGGCGGCATATCTTATCTTATCTTTATTTGCTTATTGATTTACTGATCATCGATTCTTTTGCAGGCTACTTTTCCTGGCGCAATATCAACAACGGCTCGTGGTACATGCAGTCGCTCATCCAGGAGCTGAATAGCAATGCCAAGAAATACGACCTGCTCACGCTGCTCACTTTCGTTAGTCAGCGCGTCGCCATAGACTTTGAGTCGAACGTGCCGGCTACCCCAATGATGGATCGCCAGAAGCAGATTCCGTGCTTCACCTCCATGCTGACGCGCATACTGCGCTTCGGCGACAAACCCAACGGCAATAAGGCTGGCTGAAATATAACATTGACACCCGCCCGCCCCGCCTAATACGTTCAACGCGCAACCTAATCCACCTCCCCTCCCCCCAACCCTTAAATTGGTCACTTTGGATTCCATGCCACTTCAAGTTTAGTTCTAGGTTTTAGCTTTATTGTTGACTAAATTTTGATCCCAATCAACATATTCTCATACACACACATATATAGTATATAATAATCACTTGCCAATCGGGAAATCACAAATATTATGTAAGACGGATATACAATGAAGATTTATTCAAATATACACACGCATATATATTTGATATGCATAGAAATAAATCACAAATATTATACAAGATGATATACAATGAAGATTTATACGAATATACACTCGTATGTATACATAGAAATAAAAATGAATTCTGAAGAAAATAAATTGGTTTGAAAATTTGTGTCTACGCGCCAAACTCTACTACGTACTGTGTGGCAGCGCCACAAACGTGTGTGTGTGCACCCGACTGTATTATGTTTGTATGCGTACAGTTGTCACAATATTGAATGAATATCGAAATTTCACCCAATTTGCATGCCAAAAAGGGCCAAGACAGGTGTTAAAGCAGCACCAAGCACCAACACACACACACACAGATGAAGCGATCCCCTACCCTGGCTGGCCGCCCGAGCCCTTTAGCCAAGACCCCAATAACGCACGCAGTCTGTTCAGAAACCCCAAGCATTGTCTTAGCCAAGTTCTTTCTCGGTTCGCTGTTAGTGCAACTTTGAACCAATTCAAATAACTTGATCTAGGCTTACCTCGGTCGACGTGAGGGCCATTATCAGCAGGGGCAGCGATGCAGTTGACTTGACGCTGGGATTTTCCGAAAAAAGAGAGGCTATTTTCTCGCCAGTCAAGCAGAAGCGACAGATCTTCTTCTCGGCCAGCTCGGACTCACGGGCGCTGGCGATGACATCCATCCTGACAGTTCTGTGCCTTCACAGCTGCTGAGTTCACGATAAAAACACTCTGAATATTAAATAGAGACAGCCGCAACAAACAAACTAAGCTAGTTGCACGGTTTAAGCAGTGACAACAATTTTCTGGCGTCTTTTCTTTTCACGAACCCCGGAGAGCTGCCACTTCAGTGGGCTGCCAGACCGACCATAGCGCTGCCACCCGGACCAAAAAAGGTTTAAAAACAACCGGAGTTGGGGAAGATTTTGTGTTTTGTTTGTTTATTCGGGGCTATTCATCCCCATTCCGCAGACGAGCCTGCGTCTGCTCACCTATATCGTATATGACGTTCTGTTGCAGCAGTTCGTGGGGCTCGTACTTGAGCGACTCGTCGTAGGCATACTGTATGCTGGTGTCGTATAGCATCAGTTTGCACTTGGCCAGGGCCAGGATGCAGTTGCGCAGGCGGGCAATCACCTCGCGCTCGTTTCGCGGCACTGCTTCACCCAGATTCTGGGCAAAGCCACCCTCGCCGCCCTCCTGCTCCTGACTTTTGGGGGGCGATATCCAGATGTAGCCGTTGTTGCCCAGGATCACAGACGCCCCACAGGGCAGATTGTGGAAGTGCATCTTGCGGCGCTTGACCAGGGCGGGAAAGACCTTGACGAGCACGCCCTGGGACAGTTTGCCGTACTTCAAACTGCGAGTGTACAGCGAAAGGGTGCCCTCCTCGAAGATGTTCTGAAGAGAAACTCAAATCAATTTAGGACCAACAAATCAAATAGGAAACTCACTTGAACTTCAGCGGAGATGAGATCGCCCTCGTCCAGGTAGCGTCGCATCATCTGCTCATCCTCTGCGGAGCGTCGTCTCAGCTCTCCGCCCGGCAGATTCACCGACGACAGCAACAGTATGGAGTCCAGGCGAGAATTTGTATCCACGCGCCAGCGCTTCTGTTGCACCTCGATCACGCGCGCCACCACAACGTCTCCGATCTCGCCCACATAGCGACTCTTGAGCGGACGCACGGAGATCAGTTTGTTCACCTTCTCAATCACGCCGGCCACCGAGGCCTTTATGTTCTCATCCTCCACAAACGTGCCGTGGCCACGCATAAAGCCTGCCTCCGGCATAACCACCTCTCCTGGTGTGTAGACGCGTGGCAAGACGTCCTGCCGCTCGGCCAGGGCACACCAGTTCACGCGGTCCAGCGCCAGTTCAATTGTTGCATTTGTGGCCATCGCAGATCGAGTTTAAAATTGAAAAATAAACAAAATAAACGTAAAAACACGCGCGCCACAGTAGAACCAGTTTCGGAACCAGTTCGAATCAGCTGTTCTGTGTTGTCAGTACGGTATATTTCGGTATATTTTTTTACGCGGTCACACTAGACAAGTAATTTTCGAAATGACCGACAAACTCCATTTAGCGCACAAAAAATACCGAAATTGTTCGCTCTCAAATCGTAGTGGTTTTTAAGATTTGCTATTTATCTCAACAATCCAATAAATGGGAGTCATTAAAATAAGCCAGATTTCAGGAAATTGATTCACCTATCTGATAAAATGATATGTCTAGTCGTTTAAGTCCTAACTAGCTAGAAATATTAAACCGAATATCAAACTCGAGGAATATCAACGCTTCTTATCGTGTCGGTCAGTATATTTACAGTATATTTTGATAAGGACAATGTATATTTTATCGATAAGAATAACTTAAATAACAAATGCAAATGCGAATTTACAATTCTCTGGAAAATGGATAAACCCGATGATAATTTCCGCTATATACACAGCAGCGCGCTGCACGAGCGCGTGCAAATCAAAGTGTAAGCTAAAGGGGAGTCTGGGCGTGACTGGAAAAATCGAGAAATCATTTCATGAACTTTCAGTGGGACGCTCGAGGGCAAGAAACGGCAGCCAGATTACGAGAAGCTGCTCGAGGATCCCATTCTGCGCTTCTCGGGCCTGTACTCGGAGGAGTATCCCTCCTTCCAGGTGCGCCTGCAGGTCTACAACAATGGACGGCCCTACTGTCTGCCCGTGCACAGCGCCTACAAGGCGTTCGGCAAGCGCTGGAGCTGGAACGAGTGGGTGTCGCTGCCCCTGCAGTTCTCCGACTTGCCGCGCAATGCCATGCTGGTGATGACCATCCTGGACTGCTCTGGCGCCGGCCAGACCACCGTCATTGGCGGCACAGCGATCTCGGTGTTCGGCAAGGATGGCATGTTCCGACAGGGCATGTACGATTTGCGCGTCTGGCTGGGCGTGGAGGGCGATGGCAGTTTTCCCAGCAAGACACCCGGCAAGGGCAAGGAATCGTCCAAGTCGCAGATGCAGCGCCTCGGTAAATTGGCCAAAAAACATCGCAACGGGCAGGTGCAGAAGGTGGACTGGCTGGATCGGCTCACATTCCGGGAGATCGAGGTGATCAATGAGCGAGAGAAGCGCATGTCCGACTACATGTTCCTCATGATTGAGTTTCCCGCCGTCATTGTGGACGACATGTACAATGTGAGTGGAAAATCCATATGATTTAGCCTTTAAAATATGAATTTTCGTTTTTTTCTTGCAGTATTCCGTGGTTTACTTTGAGCCGGAGGGCGACTTGAAGTATAAATTGCCAGCCAAACCCAAGCTGGTCTCCGTTCCCGACTCGGAAATTCAAATGGTCGGTGAGAAGGTAACCCAAACGATGCCTTGCCCTTATCGTTTGCCCTTTCTTTTGCTCAGGAAAATCTGGTGGAACGGAAGCACCATCGTTTGGCCCGCTCGGAGCGTTCTGGCATCTCGGATCGGGATGCCAAGCCCACAGCTAGGTAGACTAGCAATCCTTGCATGTATTTACATTGGAATCTCATTTCTCTCGTCTCAATCTCAGCATTCGCGACCAACTGCACACGATCGTGTATCGGTGTCCGCCCACTTATGTACTGACCAGCGAGGAACAGGATCTGCTGTGGAAGTTTCGCTTCTATCTGTCGTCGCACAAGAAGGCCCTGACAAAGTTCCTCAAGTGCATCAACTGGAAGCTGGAGGACGAGGTGATGCAGGCCCTCTGGATGCTGGCCAACTGGGCACCCATGGACGTGGAGGATGCCCTCGAGCTGCTGAGTCCCACGTTTACGCATCCGCAGGTGCGGAAATACGCCATCAGTCGTCTGGCCCAGGCCCCCGACGAGGATCTGCTGCTGTACCTACTCCAGCTGGTGCAGGCTCTCAAGTACGAGGATCCCCGCAACATTGTCCACCTGCACAGCTGCATCTTTCCCGAGCGGGATGTGGCACGCTCCATGCTGGACGAGAACGGATCGCTGATGGACCAGAGCACTATCTCGGATCTCAGTGGCACCAGCAGTGGCAGTGCCCTCCACTCTTCGGTTATACCCGCCAATCAGCGGGCCGCAAGCGCCCTGGCCGCCATCAAGGGCGACAAGTCAATCAGTCCTGGCTCGGTCGCTGGTCCGTCTGGCAGCTCGGTACAGGCACTGGGACCTGTGCCTAGTCCCAGCAAGGCCAGCACTCCGACACCGGTTACGCCAGCGCGGGGCGATGCAAATGCCTCGCTTGTCTCCGACTCAAATTCCAACACTCTGATGCTGGCCGAGGGCATCAGCTTTGGCAGCGTGCCCACCAATCTCTGCACATTCCTCATCCAGCGCGCCTGCAGCAATTCCACGCTGGCCAACTACTTCTACTGGTACTTGTCCATCGAGGTGGAGGAGGTGGAATCGGTGCGGAAGCAGGACGAGCGCGCCCACGACATGTACGCCATGGTGCTAAAAATGTTCCTCAAGGTGCTGGAGAATGGTAGGTGGTCCAGCGTAACAGGGCACACGTTCACACGTCACTAATTGTGCATTTTTTCCTACTTCGAAGGCAACTTCAACCTGAGGGGCATCTTCTATAATCTGCGCAAGCAGCGTCGCTTCATCGATGAGCTGGTGAAGCTGGTCAAACAGGTGGCCAAGGAGCCCGGCAATCGCAACAAGAAGACGGAGAAATTCCAGAAGCTGCTCGCCGAGCAGGACATGTTCAAGATGAACTTTACCAACTTTGAGCCGATACCATTTCCCCTGGATCCCGAGATCTACATCACAAAGATTGTGCCCATGCGCACGTCCCTCTTCAAGAGCGCCCTAATGCCGGCCAAGTAAGAGCATCCCCTGGTTCCCCCCGATAATCCCTGGCTAATTTTTGTAATCTTGTTTCCTGCGACAGACTTACGTTCGTCACATCGATTGCCCAGCACGAGTATGTGGCCATTTTCAAGCACGGCGATGATCTGCGCCAGGATCAGCTCATTCTGCAGATGATCACCCTAATGGACAAGCTGCTAAGGCGCGAGAATCTGGACCTTAAGCTCACGCCGTACAAGGTGCTGGCCACCAGCTCCAAGCACGGGTTCCTGCAGTACGTCGAGTCCTGCACCGTGGCGGAGGTTCTGGCCCGCGAGGGCAACATCCACAACTTCTTCCGACGACATCATCCCTGTGACAACGGACCCTACGGCATATCCGCCGAGGTCATGGACACCTACATCAAGAGCTGTGCCGGCTATTGTGTCATCACCTACTTGTTGGGTAAGCATGAAAGATCTCCCCATAGCTCCATTCAGCTCACCCTTTCGAACTCTCTGCAAGGTGTGGGCGATCGGCACTTGGACAACCTGCTGCTGACGACCAATGGCAAGCTGTTCCACATCGATTTCGGATACATTCTGGGACGCGATCCCAAGCCCATGCCGCCGCCCATGAAGCTGAGCAAGGAAATGGTCGAGGCCATGGGCGGCGTCAGTTCGGACCATCATCACGAGTTCCGTAAGCAGTGCTATACGGCGTATTTGCATCTGAGAAGGCATGCCAATGTCATGCTCAATCTGTTCTCGCTAATGGTGGATGCCACGGTGCCGGATATTGCCCTAGAGCCGGACAAGGCGGTCAAGAAGGTGGAGGAGAACCTACAGCTGGGCCTCACCGACGAGGAGGCCGTCCAGCATCTGCAGAGTTTGCTGGACATATCCATAACGGCCGTAATGCCAGCACTTGTCGAGCAGATCCACAGATTCACCCAGTACTGGCGCAAGTAGAGAGGAGGCAGGCCACTATAGCAACTATATCTATATGTATATCGATCGTTATTCCTAAGTATTCTCTAGCCAATGTAGATCGCAGTAGGTCTGTCGATCTCGATTTTAATGTATCTGAATGTATCCTTCTGTTACCCGATAAAATCGTTTGATTGAGTATTCTGCTTGGACTGGGCCAGGCGATGCGATGCGCTCTAAGAAGCCCGTGTGGCTGCTCTTCAAGGTGCTGGAGCTGGTGCTGAGCTTCTGCTGCTGCTACATTCACTGGCGGTGCTTCCAGGACGAGGGCATACCGCACAACTTCCTGCTGTGCACCTCCTACGGCGGCTCCTCCATCATCTGCGTGCTGTCCATCGTCGGCATGTTCTATGCCGAGAAGCCGACCATGAAACTGGAGTCTGTCTTCAGCGGACTCCTTGGCACCCTGCATTTGGTCACCATCTTTGTGCACATGTACCTGGCGCTGCACGGCCAAAAGTTGCTGTCCATGAAGGCTCAAGGGGAGAGCTGGCACGGCTTCTATGTGTGCTGTCGGGACAATTCAAAGGTGGCGCTGTACGCCACTGCCGTTTACTATCTACACTGCACCTTTGCCATGGACCTGCTGCTGACACACACGGCCAAGTTTGTGGAGTGCCCGGACGGGACTGTGAGGAAACGGCCGAGGCACCCGCGGCGCAGCATGCGCCCACTCAAACTCTATTTCATCAGCATCGGTGCTGAAAACTATCTGAATCGCTTCCGTTGGTTTCACCTGCTCACGGCCAACATGCTGATGAGCACTCATCCATCCCAGAAGACGCTGGATGCGTCCTCCAATTCCAACGAGGAATTGGAATTGGCACAGCAATGAACTAATATTAATTAATGTCGGTTTTATTTGCCAGAAATTATAATTTCAAATCTTCAACGGCGTTTACAGTGCAGCCCTGGCGAATCAGCTGTTTTTGGGCAGAACAGCCCTGTTCTTGTTACCGCGCAGTTCTTGCGGTATTTTGAAAACTATGCTGTGTGCATTATTCGTAGCATTCGCCTGTTGTTGTAATTGTGCCGGTTCTGTAATTTGCAACTGAAATTGTGGCTTCGCTCCTCCTGGGAAAACTTCAACTCCAACTAAAACTTCAATGGTGATGGCGATGGCGAGCGGTGCGGTAAGTCATCTCTGCTTTTTATTTTTGTTCAAATGCATTGCTGGAAATTTTCGTCTGCAAAGTTTTCTGATTTTCATAGTTCAATGCGTGGTTTTGTGCCCCCGGACGATAGGACCCAGCCGCCAGCTATGGCCCCAGCAATGCCATTGGCACTGGGAGCATGTGTGTGTGTATGCTGGGTGCCTGTGGCTTTTTTGCCTGGGCCCCTGCTTAGTTAGTGGCAGGTACTCAAATCAAAAGTTTTTGCTAAAAGTTAGCCGGGGCGACTAAAGTTTCAAGCAGACGCACCGCAAAAGATTCGCATTTCCATGGCTCTCGGCCAGCTGCACTGCACTCCCACTCCCACTCACATATACTACACCCTCACGCTCACTTACTCCCGGCGGCCAACTAAGTTAGACATGGCAAAACTTGGCACAGCCGCCTCATACTAATTTGTAAATCGGGCGCGTAGTAAATGCTCTTATCGGAACCAAACGACGCGCGGGGCTCTTTCCCTTTGTCCCCCTCCCTCTCTGTCCATAAAGTGGTCATAGCAAGGTATGTTAAATAAAGGGTTAGGCAGTCGCACTTTACGGCACTCTCGTTTCTCGCTTTCTTTTTATGTACATATATATGCAAATGCACAGATCGAAAAATCATTCTCTATTTTGCTTACCTTGCAAATAATCTACCTTGGGACATTGCAGCTGAGCGCGTGTGAGTGAGTGCGACTCGGTGAGTGAGTCACCCACAATAGACTGCACTCAAACTTTGCTTTTGTTATTGTCTGCGGCTGTGGCCAAGCCCCATTCTTCCATTCCTCTTCACCGCCCGCCCGCCCGCTGCCCATGTCCTGCGTGGGGCAAATGCAGCACGTGTTCATTTTCGTGCAAAATTCTGCTGGAATTCCAAGTTGGAGTAAAGTTATGTGCGCATTTTTGTTGGTGTGTGGCGGTGGCGCTGACGCTGGCATTGCGCCTGTGTTGAAGCAGCAGCGTGAGTGTGCCTCTGGAAGATTCAGTTTCTATGTAGATCAGAAAAAGTTTGGTTTAGTTGGCAGCTAAATTTCACTACGTGCAGTTTTGTGGTGGGTGTTATATGTACGTACACACATGTACGAAGTATATGGAATGTGAGTGCTATTACAGTAATAGTTTTGCCGGCTGGCGATAAAAAAATAACGCTGACTACTCCGGAGAAGCGATACAGCCGCCCCCACAGGTGATTGAGTGATTGAGATTAACGGTAAGTGATGAGTAAGTGATGATGCAGCGGCAGGTAGAGCGAGATAGCCAAAGACGGGAAGCTTATAAGCCGCGCGGGCGGGTAGATGAAAACTAGTCCTTAAACAAAACAGAGGTTGTCATAAGTTTACATTTAATAATCGCTCTCTATATTTTTCTCTCTCTCTCTCTCTGAGTGTTTATCAGCCACTTTCCATTGAAAGTAGTTCTTGAGAACCGTGTGCTAGCTCAAGACTGATTTCACAATCATCGTATTGGGGCAACTGTAATTTAAAACCTTACCGTTGACTTCCTATATGCACTCGGTTTTAACTAGAACTTTGAAGTAATCGGGCGTTTATTGTTGTTGCTTTTTTCCACAGTGTTGAGAACCAAACTCCCGAAACGAAGGTTTCCCATAGTCACACTACCCCTCCCTCCCCACCCCTCACAATTCCTCTTTGCTTTGCTGCCCAAAAACGTCATGTACGTGCCGCTTGTGCAGCTCAATAGATCTTCGGGGTAATCAGTTTACGCTGACGTCGTTTGCTTACCACTTCCCCCCATAGCTACCCCTCACGCTCCCATTATTAACCATATACATACATACATACATATGTATGTATTCATATTCCAAATCCAAGTGCAAGTCGTGTTTCTACATGCGAAACTCTATGTAAACCGAAATGCTTCTTATACCCTTGCCAAAGGTATAATTGTTTTTAGCAAATTTTTGCAACGCAGAATGGAATTTCATAGCCCATAATATATGCATATGTAATATATACATAATCAGATCTTAGGAATTATCGATCTGTTTGGGTATCCAAAGCTTTGGGTACTTTCTAAGGGTACCCTTCCTTCGGTGTTATTTGTTTTTCAATTATTTCTGCTACTGCTGCTGCTACTGCTGTCGCCATAGTTGTTGGTGTTGTTCGTTTTTCATGAACCGATACTAACACGAGTGCTACTATTTCAGTTGGTTACTAAACATTTAGTGCCTCCTCCCGCCCCGCACAGCCGCGCCGTCTTGAGAGAGCAGCGGGCTGACTAAGCGAACTGTCGCGTCATATTAACCATATTGTGGGACCTGGGACACACCGAAACGCGGGCTTTTGCATATTGCCTGTCCATGCCCCACAATCAGCACCCTCTCCACCTCCTCCTTCGTGGAGCACCCGCATCTGTTGCCTGCATTTGCTCCATTTGTTTGTTTGTGTTAAAGCGTTTGTATGTGTGTGTGTGTGGCGCTGTGTGTTTGTGATGTTGTTGTTGTTGTTGTCCACAACGTGATAAAAACTTTAAACATTGAATTGTGAGACTTCGTCACTTGGTTGTAAATTGAAATAAGACTACCTTACTCTGCAGTCCCTCCTCACTTCTTTCCCTAGCCATCTCTGCCTCAACCGTTGAACGAAACGAGAAGCGAAAGAAAATACAAAAACATCTATTGCAATTGTCAGCAAATTTCCTTCAAAGGCGAGAACAAAACAACTAAAACCGAAGCAGCATCAGCGAATTTAACGATGAAGCAAAGTGGAATGAAGCAATGGAAAGAGTGTAGGAAGAATCAGTGGGAGCAACTGAAAACAAGGAAGAGGAATATGCAGAAGCTTAGGATAAAGCTGTGGAATAGAAATAGAGCAAGAAGTGGAAGTAGAACGGCAAAAAGCAAAGGAGGGAGGGGGGCAGGCGGCTTAGGGAAAGCTCTAAGCTACTATGATACGATCATTTTTCACTGTCGGTAAATTTTGCCATTCACATTGGTGTGCACATGAACATCCAGTCAAATTTATTTCACTATTCCCAAACCCATGTAAATATGTATTGATAGATATGTTTCCGTTTTTCCGTAGATTTTTCTCAAAAACGGTCGGTAGATAACAGAAGCTTAACTTTTTATGCTTTGAAATGCATACAAATACATAGAAATACGTAAAAATACATACACACGTACATACATATGTACATTTGTTTGCGTATGTGCCGACGTTTGTTTATGCGAAGCTCTGGCCGATTCCTCGATTCCAGCATTTCCCATTCCGTCGGCGGCATTTCAGTGCAGTTTCTGACGCCTTCGGTTTGGCTGTCATCTCTCTCCCTCTGTCTGTCCTAGTGCGCGGTTTTTAGTTCTTGCTATTCATATGTACATACATCTTTTTTTTTTAGCTCTTTATTTGTGTGGTTCTTTGAATCGCGTGATTTGCGGCAACGCCAATGAAAGATATTGTACTTCAATTAGTCTTTGATTTTTCTTTTGATGCTCGCATCACTTTCGCATTTGAACGAAACCAAAATTGCGATAATCAAATCAAATCAGATACAGAAAAACGTGATTCAACTTGAAATAGATTATTGGATTAAAATTTAAATAAAATACGTGTTTAAAGTCAAATTCAATCGAATGTGATCATGTTCTTTGGAAAATTGTGAATTTATGGTGAGCTATACTTAAAATATTCATATTTCAATTAGTTTTTCATGAAAATACAGTGAAATCTCCTATTGGGTGACACCTGCGCTACCAGTCAACGTTTGTGGCGTGACTGTCCCTTGATTTTCTCTCCAAAATAACTAAAATTATGTGAGTCTTGGTTATGCCTAAAGCTTTGTGTAACTATAAATGATATGTATATCTTATCGAATAGGTAAAGTAACAAAAATGGAAATCAAAGCGGTGCAATAGCATTGGCTTTTATGAGGTCGCAAATTACCGTTAGCATAGTGCCAAGTTTATGGCTCTTGAGTCACACACAGACACTTTGTCCACGTTAAACGTAATGTTAGCGCACTTTGCTTACCTTTAACTCAATTATCTGATAAAGAAAGCCACATACTACAGCTACGGATGTTACCGTGGCTAGGGACAGGGACAGAGGACAGGGACGTGGACGTTATCCGCAGTTTGTTGACCTCCGCTGATAAAGATTTTTTCCGTTTCTCTTTCTGCTTTAGTTTTGCAAAAAAGTTTATTCTCCAAGCGGCACGAAGATCATGTCAATATGAGGCATGGTAAACAATAAAACCAGAACGAAAGCCCCATCTTCCAGAGTCGAAGGTGTGGATACTCTTGCAGATGGGTCTTTCCTGTTGTAGGATTATATTCCATAGTCTTTCGATCTAAGTCTAAGCCTTATATGATCAGGTATAAGTATATAGAACTTGTGTAATCAACAGATCCTGACAGTTGTACCATAAATAGTGGAATACCCTCTTCAAGAGTAGACACACACTTTATGGCCAAGAAGCCGGTCCTATCGGACTATGTGGTCCGACTATATGGTAAATAGGACCGGGCCATAGGCACACGCAGCTCGGCTTAGAGGTCTAATAAGTAAAACCCGCACGTAGCCCAAATAAAAATGGTAACAGAATCGAATGCTGGCTGGTCTGCTTGTGGCTTGGATTGGTGACAGACTCGGAGCAGCGGGTCTTGCTTGCTTCGGTTCCCAAGGCCAGTGGATCTATCAGGTTAATTACCCGCCATTGTTAATCCTAGCCAAGCGGTAGTACGCTTCGCTTCCCCGAACTTCACTCCCTTTAAGGCCTCCACCAGCCAAAGTTGATTTTC